TTGTTGCCGTCGATTTCGTTATCGTCTATCGTCTATTCGCCACACCTTACAGCTTCGACGCCTCGCCGACGGTGCCGACCTTGAGGCGGTCCGAGTACTTGTCAAGGACCTTTTGGCTGTGGTACTTCCAGAACGACTTGGTGGCGTCGCGGCCAGCCATGCGCTTCAGGATCTTGGCGCCGCCGGGGTGCTCATCAACGAAGCCTGGGATTCGGTTAGCAATCATTCGCTGCTCTGGCGGTGCATTGCTCCCAACGTAGAGCGAAACTCACCGGTAATATCGTAGACGCCATTGTCGACAATAATGTAGATGCCAGAATCATCGGTCTTGTGCTTAGCGACCTCTGCCGGGGTGAAGGACTTGGACATTGTTGCGGTGTGTGGGAGCGAGAGTGTTGCAGGAAGGATTGCGGCCGTTGGCTTGAAAAAGAGAATATGGGGCAAGAAAATGAAGCGTCGCGAAGGAGAAAGAGAATTGGTACGAAGTTAAAACGGGGTGTGAACTGGAAATCAACAGTAAGGACCGTCCCCGATCGTGCTTTCCTCAGCGAAACCAAGTTACCTCGGCTCGCTTACCATTAGGAAAGAGCGACTAACAAAATGGCCCCCAAATGCTGTGCCTTGCGCTCTTGCAGGAGCACCTGGTTCCTTTGTTAGGTGACTCGCCCCAATCAGACATGGCGCGCTACTGTCTACGACATAGATTCCGCGGGGGAAGAAATGGGCACGTTTGTGGTGCAAAGCAGCAAAGGCGGAGAAACTCGAAATTGGTCATACCAAGTCATTTAGCTGCACGCTGATGGGCTGGATTTGGGGTCGATGGAGCCTCTGGATGCTCCTGCCCTTGTCCCGCAAGCCCGCCTCGATTGCACCGACGAGACCGGACCAGGGACAGCCCAGGGCAGTTGCCGTCCCCAGCCAACTCCCCTCTCCCCCTGGCCCCTTCCCCATCTTTTTGTGCAATGACGTTTTCTATCTTTTGTGGTCTGGTGCCTGCCACGCATCGCCGCCACTGATTCACAATTAGCACGTGGACAACGTCGTGAGCCTCTCATTTTCGAAAGGTGGTCTATTCCCTGAACCGGCGTCTAGAGGCCTAATGGATTGCAACTAAAGAAGACGTCACCGCTCTGTAGTGATTCACTCCAATGTCTATTGTCGGTCACGCAAACTGACAAAAACCCATGACGATGCACAACAGTCGACTCGGTGAACGATTGTACATTACACAATATGAGTAAAATTGTCTTTCTTTGAGCCGCAAAAGAGAGAGAAGTCGTGGAAATATGAAGCTGAAGAGACTCTGTGATATAAAGGGAACAAAGAAGCAGATTCTATATTAAAACCCGTCTCGGGCTGCCTACGAAGACAGCCCAGCCTTCTATCTCGCCCGAAAGGAGGAATGAAATGGAAAGTGCTCGTTGGCAAATAGAAAGGTACAAAACAGGTTGACAAAGTCAGAAAGCAAAGGGCCGCCCTAACAATAAAATCCCAGATATTCCAGCGTAAAAAGTTCAAATCCAAATAGACGCCCAATAGATTCCGGCTTCCCAAAAAACATAGAAGCATCCCCCATGTATGTGAAGGGAGGGGGGGGAGAAAAGAAAGAATTAACGACACAAAATGTAGGTCGGGCAGAGAGGCGGTTCTGTCCAGTGTAAAGAGGAGTGTATCGATGACAGAAGCCGTTTCGGAGGGAGATGGACCGCCCGTTCGCAATCTTCAAGATCGAGCGGAGGAGACAAGCAGACCGCAAACGAGGAGGCGCTGATGACGACTTCGATGGTATTGTCAGTGTTGCAAGGCGCAACGTTTGTTTCGAGTGTGGTGTCGTGGCTGGAGAAGAATTTTGGCTTGATCTCCTTCGTTGCACCCGATTTCTCCGCCGACTCCCTGGGCTCAACTCAACTTCCGTTTCTACCCGGACAGGCCGACATTTTCAAAGTCGCGCATCATAACGGCGACCTGGGCGCGTTTTGCGGCTTCGGCGACGAGGGTGAAGTCTTTGAGGAAGGACTCGGTCGTCGATGCCTTAACCGTAATAGGTGGTGGAGGCACAATCTTGCCGCCTGCTGTTGCCGCCGATGTGGCAGACGACCGTCCGGCGACGGCCGCTACCTGTTGCGATGCGTTCATCGTTGTGGTGGGTGGACTTGAATGTGGTGGGAGAGAGAAATAGAAAGACTAGCGGAGACTGTTAGAAGTCGGCGTTGAAGCGAGAAACGAAGAAACAAATACGGTGTGCGCAGCCGAGGTTTATAAACAAAATGAACAAATGGAAATGGCAGAACGCAACAACAAATAAATGACAGATAACAGAGAACCACAAGGCCGAGACAAAGATGACAACACGGCAGTGCCTCGTTATTGCGCGGGAGATAAAGTAGAGAGAAGCCTCACTAGAATTGTGGCAGAAGAGACAATGCAAACAAAAACATAATAAATGCAGAAAAGGCCACACCAGTGGTTTAAGCGAATAGGGCCGGCTAAACTGAGCAAACGCAAGAAAAAGGCGACGTATAACGGGACACCAAATTGGGGGCCGATTGGAGAGGCCAGTAAATCGCGAGACTAGACAAAAGTACATGTGATATTCGCACAAAGCAGCACAAAATCAGCAACTTACGAGAAAGTGCCTTGTCTATTTCTGACTATCGGAACCGGAATAAGTGTCGAGATGTGGCTATTCGGAAGAAGAGTGCTACATCTGCAAGCGCTGACAGAAGATTGGAAGAGTTCGATAAAACGGCAACAAGCGAGGACGAGGCGAGACGGGTATCGAGGTTGAGCCGCGTGGAAGAATGAAAAGAGAGTAGATTTTGCGTTTGGATTTCCTTCTTCCTCGGAGGTTTCCTCGATATTAATGACTTGCTGAGACTGAAAATAACAGACGGCGTATGCGACTGTCAGAGCTCGGGCTGGACCGGTCAAGGTGTACTGCTGCGGGACGGCGATCTGGCCCGTGGTAAAGCGTCGAGATAATGCGCGATGAAGAGACAAGGGCCGGGCACAGGTGAGACGGGAAACGCAGGGGGTTGTGCCCGAGCGAGACTGTCCTTTACTGTCCTGACAAGCGACGAGAAGACGACCAGAGACAAGCGACGAAAACGTAGAGAAAGAGAAAATAAAAGTATTGTAATATCAAATTTGTGCGTGTGGATGGTCGGCACAATTGTGCGAGGGCACGAGGCTCGTGAACGTGGGGGCGTACTGGGGGTAATGGCGGGATCGGAATGCGAAAATGATGTAAAAGGAAACAAAAGAAGATTAAGAACAAGAATGGCAACAGCAAAGAGACGGAATTTCTCCAACACAAAATACTACTTCTGACGGCTTCCGCGTGAGATCAAAGAAACTGTAGCGAGAATGGAGAAATGGAGAAGAAGAGAAAGCCGAGACAAGCAAGTGTAAAGCCGGGCAAACCTCGGGAGACGAGAAGCGAACAGCGCAGAATCGACATGAGAGAGATAAAGAGAGACGGGGGTTTTATTGCGGAGTCAACTCTGGGCGGATCTGCATGTCGAGGTCGTTGAAAAGCCGTTGACGAAACCGAGAGAGCACATGGAACTGTTCCCGGACGAAAGCCGTGCGTGCGATTGGGTGATAACGAGGCAGAGACAGCACCAAAAAATATCAGAAAGACTTTCGAAGGCGGCCCAAAGGAGGAAAAAGGGTCCATGAAAGAGGCAATTGCCAATTGCGGAGAATTGCTCGTGGCTTGCGCTGCCACTAGTGCGCGATACCGAACCAGCGATGACGATGGACTCCACAGTGCGTACTATCGAGCGGAAGAGTTGAGCGAGGCACGTAAAACACCGACCTAATAACAGTGTTTATGACACAGTACTAATGTTTTCGCACGGTACATGACTGTGCGCGGGGAGACTCGGAAAAGGCGCTGCTAGTTTTGGGCGACTTACGACATACATATGACGGCTGGTGGATGCTCTCACAAAGGTCGAATGGCCGTCTAGATTTTGGATATGTGTAAGACATCGCTGCAGTCAGTGGCTAGTCGTTCCTGGCCGTGCACTCCCGTTGTGGACAGGGCGAGATTTGGGAGAGCGCATCATTGGGCGATGGAGATGGAGCGAAGATTTTGTGACGTGGGCTCGACGCAACGAAGATGAGACGATACTCTTGAATCAGCCGTAGCAAGTGTCGTAAGGCTTCCAGATTGTCGAAGCCGATCCATTCTAGACGTTATACCATACCGCTAGAGGCCGAATCGAGTGTAGCAAAGACAGTACCAAGAGGACAACAGACAGGGGGGATGGGGCCGAGAGGGTGGTCAACAAAATGAACAAGACGAACGAAATGATTGTCATTTGAACCAAGGACGGCATGCCGCGCATCCGTGCCGCCGTAATCTGACAAAGTTGAAGGCATATCAATCGTTGGAGGCCATACAAATAGTTGTTTACGCGAAAGGCTGGCTCACCCTTGTAAGACGCAAACAATGTCGAGTGTGAGCCAGCTTTTCGTGTAAACAACTATCTCAAGTTGGGGAATCTGGATTGGGCGTTGCCCCTTTTCCAAGATGCAGCTCTTTGGTAGAAGGACTGCTACATAAAAAGAAGTTACGGAAAAGGTCCATCGCAAGAAGGTACGATGCATACTTCGACGCACAGTTAGTTATGAGGTTGAGCATGAGGAAGGAGCGTGTAAGCGAAGTACAGTAGTCCTCATAAGGAAAGCACGATATAGGTGACTACCGAAACAGGAAGGAACAGCCACACCACGAACAAAATGCCAAAATTCAGTCAAACACAAATAGTCGCTCTGTCTGTCGGATTTCGGTATTTCCTTTCATGCATTCGCGACAGCCTTTTTCTTCACGTCGGCCGATAGCCTGGAAGCAGCGGAAGAGTGGTGCGGACTACGGAATCTGCATGCGATACGTCCGGTGCAGCCCATTTGAAAAGCGGCTGTGCGGTATGACTTCGCCAATGTGCAATTGCAGTTCCTTCCCATCGCCCCTTCCCTGTCTTTTCCTGTGATCATGGAACAATCTGAAACATACGCTTCCAATGCCAAGTGGCGTCCGCGGGCGTAGGGTCGCACCTTCTCTTGTCAACTCTCCCCTCCCCTTTCTCATCTTCCATCGCTCCTCCCGCCCATACCCCTGCGGATCCTCCGTGGCTGCCGTTTACGATTGGCTCGCAAAGACGGAGCACCCATCCCTCAAACCACGGTTCCCACAAGAAATCGCAAAATCGCATCTTGCCATCCTTCACCTCTTTGTACATTTCCTCTCCAAACGCCAACATGTCAACCATGCAGCCATGGTGCCAGACAGCACCTCCCCCAGCATTCACCCATACCCCAAACACCCATGACCCATGACGACGATCAACCCTTCTGAAAATAACCGTCCCATCCATCTCAAACATTGATAGCGAGAAGTCCAGTAGGGACTATTGAAGAGTTGTTTGTTTTCGCAGGAAAACAAGCCATTGCCTCGCTATTTTACGATGTGGTGCAAGGCGTCGTCAAACGACACCGCTGCGGACAGCTCGCTTGTCCGGCGTCCCCCGTACATCGTATCCGACCAGCCAACTGGATGAATGCGGTTCATCTTTTGTCGATGTCATCCCCCATCATTCCAGACCCTCTTTGACTATCTTTGGCCATCCTCGCCCATCTCCATGACCATCGTTTTTGCCACAGTCTCGGCAGTGCCTGACGATGGGCCCTGGATCTGTCACCATTCCCCCCTTCCCGGCTCTTTGCGAGTGTCCCATCACATGTCCGTGGATTGTCGCTTTTGCAGAGCACTCTCTGGTCTGGCTGCGTCCCGTCCAGGTCCAAAAGTGCGTTGGATGGAGCAGGGCGAGATGGCAAAATGGGAATGGAAGAGGCAAAAGATAAATAAGTCTCATGTGAAGGCATATAACCAACGGCCTTTGCCCTTTCTTCCTCGTTCGGTCTGAACGTTTAGGAGTCTTCTCTTTTTTTCTTTTTTTGTCATCTCTTCACCGAGAATTCACTCTTTCACCGTCTTTTATTGCTTCATCCGCTTCTGTTTCTTGCTGCTTTTGCTTGTTTGCGCCTCGTTCTACTCACTTTTCATGGTTTCTATCCCCTGTTCTAACAGCCAGCGCTCCGTAATACACACAGACCCTATTTTCTGCATCCATTTTTTGCTGTTGTTTTCATTCCCTCGTTCTCCATCTCGCTTCTTGCGAAGAAACAGCTGTCTCTCATTCAATTGTTGTACTTTCTCCCCTCCTGTTTTTGCGTTGTGAAACCAACGAAAGTGTACACCAAGGCCAAACCCCTGTGGCATACCCTGTCAAGCCAACACGAAAATCGCCAACGCTGCTGCACCTGGCCGCAGACGTCTGCGACATTCTAGCCTGCCATCGAACCCGCTCAACCCGCTTCAGGGCTCGTTGCAACATCGCTGCATCCACACTGCCAACACTCAAAAGGATCCCTGTCCTCCGCCCAGGACATTACGCAGGATGCTCTCCATCCTGAGTCGTTCCAGATCCCTCAGAGGGGGTGGCCACCACCAACATGGTGTCAGTAAGAATGGGAACGACAACACTACAGGCGCTTCTGTAAACGCCTCATCGGCGTCCACGAACCATGCGACAAGCCAGGGTAAGACGCACGGCCCAAACGCTCCGGTGTCTCTGCTCTCGACCATGGTGGTCCCCTCGAATGTGCCTGCCATTGTTATCCCCACGGCCAGTGCCAGAAACGACACGTCCGTTTCTGTTTCTGCTTCTGTTTCTACCTCTGCTTCGACGCCTCCCAATTCAACGTCCTCCTTTCCCTCGTCGTCTTCTTCCTCTCCCTCCTCGTCCAACACTGGCACCAGTTCGATTTCCAACTCCTCGTCCATCGAGCCCGGCTTTGTCTCCAGACCTACGCTGCAGACGTCGACCGTCTTGGGACTCGTTGAAGACAAGAACGAAAACAACGTAAATACTGCTGCCTTCAGAAGGAACGAAAAGCCAGTCCCAACTGACAAGGTATCGCCTGGCTCGAGACCGCCATCGCCTGGTATCGACGGCAAACGAGAATGCCCATACGTGAACCGCCCACTGCCGCTGCCTCCGCCTCCCAAAACGCCTTCTTCTTCGGCCAACACTGCTGCAGCTAATATGACTTCGCGACCAAACAAAACGGGCGGTGGCAATGCCCTGAACCGGCCTGGCCCTCCTGCCTTTTCAGGCTCACTCGCACCACCCAGCAGACCTGACTTCAACCGGCGCATATCGCGGGACGACATGTTCCTCGGATCCCAGTCAAAGAAGTCGGCAGCTGCCTTTGACAGGCGGATTTCCCGCGACGATCTCTATCTGGGGACGCGGCCTCCAGCAGCACGCAGCGGCGCCTTCCACATTCCCAACCGCCAACAGCCTTCCACAGTGGCCGAGCTCGGTGGCCTTGACCCGCCAGGTGCATGGCCGACTCGCCGTGCTTCGCCCGAGTCGCTGATGTCGGGTGAGATCCAGATCGGCATGGCTCTCGGAAGCCCGGTCAACGCTTCGCCAGCGGAACCTATTACGTCCTTCCGGCCCCCGCAGCGTGCACAGGCAGACCGCCTTCAAAGGACAGATCCGGCTACATATGCGTCGTGGCAGCCGAGAGAAATGGCGCAAACCTACGACAGCCTCGCTGCCGCCTCAGAGTCTTCTTCCACAGGCGGTAACGGTGATAATATTCCCATTCAACGCTCCAAGACGACGCGACGAAAGCTGTTTGGCATTTTTGGCAGCAAACGGCATCACGACCCGGTCAAGTCCACTCTGACTTCGACAGCTTCATCCCAGTCGCTCGAGGCCAGCGACGCATCGTCGCTTGTCATGACCTCGGCCGTTCCAACATCCACAAATGCCTTGCCGGCATCCATGGCAACAGAGCGGCCAGGTACTCGCAGCGGCAGCAAAAAGCACCAGCCAATTATTGTCCAGATCGTCCCTGAGCCTGCCACCATCACAAACATCCAAGCAAGCAACGGCTCCTCGCCTGGCCCCGCATCGTTTGGAGTACCGGCCGCCACAGCTACAGCAGCCCCAAGCAACAAGGACGGCCGCGGTAAGCGTCCTTTCTTACGGTCGAAGGCATCGGAGCCAGCTTTCCGGAAAGCCTCCGACGTCTCCAACCGGATGCCCATGGGTCTAGGGAACAACACGATGGCCAATCTCACTGCCGCAAGTGGATATCCTCCTGCCGGTGACAGCAAGTACCTGATGCCGCCACCAATGCTGGGTGCAAGCCCATACCTCGATGTGGAAATTCCCGAGGCCCGTTTGGAGCGGTACAGCGTCATGTTTGGCAACCTTCTTGGCAGTGGTCCGTCCTGGCAGCCTGCATCGTCGCTGCTTGCGCGGCGCCAGGCCACGCTCGACAAGCTCAAGAACATCAACGACCGCATCCGCCAGGAAGACTTTGAACGGGACTTTGCGGCGGCGGCCGCAGCCGACGCCACAATGGCCATCAACGGCTTGCCCAGCCCTGGCCTGCAGCGCCGGGCCACATCGCCGCACGTCACGCGGTCGCCTGCGTTTTCACTCTTTCCTGGTCGACCACACAACACTGACAACAACAACACCCCCGGACCGGCCTTGACCAATACGACTAACGTCAATAGCCCGCTGCTGTCGCCGCGACTTCGGTCCAACACTACCCCCGCGACCACGCGCTCACCCACACGAGCTGGTTTTCATTTCCAGCAGCCGCCGGGCGTGGCTGTGTCCACATCACAGAAGACAGCACAACCTTTGTCGGTATCGGCATCTCAGCGATACAACAAGAGTCCCCTCCGCAGCGATATCAATGGCCACAGTAACCCATCAAGCATGCTGAACCGCCGCGGACTACCGACCAAGACACAAGTTATGCCGACGTCTGTACCAGCGCCAGCACCTGCACCTGTATCGGTGGTCCACTTCGCCCCGACGGAGTCGAGGCTGATTCTGGATTCTCCCACAGAAATGGACTACCCTGTGGAGCAGACTTTGCAGCCGTTCAAACCGGTGATCGAGGAGCCGCGGTGGCAGATGATCTCACCGCCGTCATCGATAGGCTCAGTGTCCAGTAGCAGTGCGGGCAGTGCTGGCAGTGCAACGAGCAAGCTTTTGCGCAGCAGGACGTCGGGGTCACCGGCGTCGACGACGTCGCTGGAGCTCGATGTGGAAGAGCCGGACCCGACGCTCAAGTCGGCCGTGGAGATTTCCATTGCGCGACAGATTAGCGTGTCGCGGCAGCAGCGGCAGCTTCTGAGGCCACTCAAGACAAATAACCTGGCAGTGCCCGCAGCCCAGACCACGACAACCTCGACGACGCCGATGTCTTCATCCTCGTCGCCGTCACGGTCGGCCACGCTCCGTTTGGGACGCAACGAGCGGCTGCAGGAGACGAAAATGTCGACACCGACCCTGGTTGTTGCGCCGACGTCGCTCGATAATACAAATGTCAACAACTACAAGTACGTCGGCGAGAACGACAGCAACGGTAGCCGTGGTTGGGCGACGTCGTCGGCATCTTCTTCTCAGCAGCAGCAGCAGCAGCAGCAGCAGCAGCAGATGCGGTACCTGTCGCCTAGAAACAACGCCAGCGCGAACAGCAACATGCAGGCGTATCAGCTGGCGCAGAACCGCAAGAGCGAGCGCGTCATCCTCGAGGCAGTGTAGTCCTCCGTGCCATATCATTCGTTCATCTTGTGTTCCTTTCACTTCGTTCTTGTCCCTGGGAGCTGGTGCTATGCTCAGGGCAAGCCCTTTTCTTATTTTCTTTTTTCCTTCGTCTTGATCGACGAGATTTTTACCTTCTCCCGGCTGGGCAGAGTCCCCTTTTCATTTCTATTGTCTAGTACTTATTACTTTTCTTGGGCTGGCACTCTATTTTTATTTTTGTCTGGGACAGTCTTCTTTTCTTTGACACTTTTTATATTCGTCACTTGGACCACAAGTCTGGTACCGTATTTTCTGTTCCTTATTTTTCACTACTCTATGTGCGATACCAAGAGTTGGACCTCGACAAACAGGACACTCAATAAAAGGGAAATATAAATACAAATACAGAAATGCCCCTACTATGATAATTTGGCTAGTGAAACACCCAAGTCTCTCTAACACACTTTCGCCGACTTGTTTCACCATTCCTGTTTACCCTGTCGGCTGGAACTGGCGTCTTAAAGCATGACGAGGAGAGATGTCCAGGGTCCAGCCGATGCAAACGACTCGTGGTTTGAGAAAGCATGAAAATGATTGAAGAAAAAAAAACATAAAAGTTGCTTGTCCGAGACAAGGTTGCCAGCTAAACTCTATTGCTCCAAAAAGAGGCACACAATTAACGGTGAAGCGTTTACTTGATTTGTTCAAGTACCAAAATTATATTTTGTACTTCACAGTCAATGTCATATATCAAATTATTTAGAAACCGATATCAAGAGTTATAATGCGATGAAAATTAACTACAAATAAAAACAAAAGAAGAAAAAACGCCGTACCATATTATGATGGTATCCCAACAATGAAGGAAAACAAAACAGACATAATATAATAGACGACCCAAACAGACCAACCTCGCATTCATGTCATCGTCTAGCCCTGCCGTCTCGGCCCCCGGCACCCATTTACATCACCACACAGCACGAGTTCTGCTTCTTTGCTTGCGTGTAGAACATCTTGGACTGGGCGCTGAGGCCATCGGACTTGGCGACGAGGTCGTCAATCTTCTCGCCGCGCTGGAGGACGCTCTCAATGGTCTTGTGCAGGACGATCTTGGTCTCGTCGAGCTGCTGCTGGATCTTCATGATGCTGTCGGCCTGCTGGGGGTCCTGGTACTTGACAATGTACTCCTTGAGCTCGGGGAAGGAGACGGAGGGGCGCTCGCCGGTGGCCCAGGCAGAGCGCGGGCTGGCAGCGAGGAACTCGTCGACGACCTTGCCGAGCAGCTGATGGGCGACCAGGCTGACGGGGCGTTAATATAGAGTGCAGAAGCAACGAGAGGGAAGGGGGAAGGGGGAAGGGTGCAATCTCACGGAGGGTAGGCTTGGTCCGAAATGATGATGCCGCAGATGCCCTCGCTGCGGCCGTAGGCGTGGAAGGTGTAGGCCTGCTCCTCGACGTCCTGGCGCTGGCCAGGCTTTGTGCGCTCGGCGACGGTCTTGGAGAAGAGCGTCATGAACTCGCCGATGCTGGAGCGGGTGAAGCGGGAGTACTCGCTGAGGTCCTTTTCGGCGACGAGCTCAACCGACTTGTTCTGGCCGCCTTCATTGCGGATGATCTGTGGGTTGTCAGCGTCGCTGTTGGGTACAAAAGACGTGTGTTCCCCTCTGACTCTTGCCTGGCTAGACGTACACCAATGTAGTAGAGCTTCATGATGGCGACGGGTGGTAGACGTCGATTGTGGCGGTGAAGTAGGTTGTCGATGCAATGGCAAGGCGAAACGAAAAGGGGGCGAGGGGAGCGGGCAGTCGAGCGACAATGCCACCGGAGAGAGACACGGGTCGATCGAGACGACGGAGGCTGGAATACGTCGGTGGTTGTCGCAATGCGCAATGTTAGAGGTAGAAACGAAAATGCGAGTTGGACAGTTGGGTTGCGCAGAAAGGCAACTGGTGGCGGCTATGCTGAACGGCTGAGTCGTTTGGCGAGACGGGACCTCGCATGGGTTGAAACTCCGAGCAGGGGAAGGCGGGGTGGATGGTGGTTGCCCGCAGACTCTACGAATTACAGGTTGCTGCTTCCCGCCAGGAGTGCCTGGAGCCTTCCCTTTTGGCGCTGTCACATGCCCCTCGCCAGTGGCGGATTTGGTGGTGGGGACCAGTTATGCTTGTTCTGTTGGGGCAGGTGCGGAAAGGTAGGCCAGGCCAAGGCGGTGAATAGGTCCAGCAAGGAAGGCCCGCACGCCAGCTGTGCCTGTCCAGTAGGCTTCAGTACTGTAATGACGGCCTCCACCCATCCCACTCTTCCGTTGCTGTCAAAAATTTTGACCTCTCCTCTCTCCTTTTTCTCTCAACATCGACGATCGTGGAACCACAAGAGCAACAGCTGAACAACGCAACAAGAGCCGCCCTTACTTGCCGGAACGAACAGTTGGATTGCATGCAATGCATTTGCCTAGTCCGCGACGCATTTATTCCATGCGCGACTGAATACTGTCACGCGATGCGAGTCTGACGAAGGATGCCTAAGTAGGCGTTCAAGGGGCGGCTCAAGCTGAGTGCGGCTGTCTGTCCCTTTCTGGGGCTCTCTACCGATCTGTCCCACTGCCACGACGACCTGGCATCCTGCTATGGTAACCGATTACTATCTCCCTACGTTTTCGGTGGTTTGTCGACGAGCGAGCTTCGTGCTTGCTTGGATGGCAGAGATTAGACGTTCTTCTTGACCACGATTAAGCCGGAGAACCGCGCTCGCTCACGTCGCTGAGAGGCGACGGGTGCATAGCTGGGGCTCGATTTGTGAGGGTCATACATTGAATGTGCATATTGTGTATATTGTGCTATTGTGTATATTGTCGTCTTTTCTTGACGAGCTATAATGTACAAGATGGCCGTGTCCATCCGTAAATGCATCTGGAAACACATCCGCAACGCCTGCGTAACGCCCTCTGTCCCAAATAACCCTTCTTCCGAAAACCCAATTCCGTTTCCTCCTTCTCTTACTTCAGCACCGTGTGGGCACCGCGCGTCTCCAGGTACTGCTCGGCCACACCCTGCTGGAAGTTCCGGATCGCCGCAAACACCTCCATGTTGTGGTAGCGCAGCCGCGTCTTGGGGTCTGTGTACGGTGCCGACAGGCCCGTGATGTCGCAGTACCGCCGCTGCGGCGCCAGGCTCGGCGCGCTCTCGATGTTGGTGTAGGTCACGCTGGGTGCGGACGCGCCCACGGCGGACAGGGCCGCGGCGCCCGCCGAATGTCCAGTACCGGCGGCCCCCGGCAGCCGCAGGCTCTTTTCGAGCACCAGTTTTGACAGACTGCGGTTGGCCTGGGCCAGGTTGGGCGGCAGACCGGCCCCTCCATTGCTGCCTGTCGCCGGCCCGGCCGGCGTCGACGCGCCGCTCGTGGATAGGCCGTCGCCGTCGTCGTCCGCTTTCCCGGCCGCCGCCGCCGCCGCCGCCGCCGAGTTTCTCGACGCCCGGGGCGTGTTGGCACCGCTGTTGTTCTCCTGCGGCGTGGCCAGAGCTGAGGCTTCTCGCCGCGACGCGTCGCCTAGGATGGTCTTGACGTTCCTGTTGCGCCGCTGGTTCGGTTTCCACGACGGGTTGCGGAACGTCTTGTGGATAGAGTGGATGTCACGCTGCTCAATGAGCTCGACGTGCGCGGCCTGTGCGGCGATCTGTTCGGGTGTTTGGGTGGCCATTGTGAGAGTGTCGCTGTTGACGAGTTGTGGCTGTGGAAAGTCGAGATGCAAAGATGCACTGATCGCTGGCAAGAGCTCCCTGTAGAGCTCTAACTGGCATTTCTGGCAGGTATGGTCGGGCAGTCATATTCTGCCGAGGCACACCGCCTACTTGCTCTGGCACGCAGCGGCCCCATCAACGGCCATTTTACGATTCGTAGTGACGCGCATCGCCGCCGCGTGATGGCTTCTTGTTTACTTACTCAATCGTTCCTCAAACGCCGACCTCTCGATAAACCAAAATGGTATGACCAATATTACGGGACGCCCAGTATCAGATGGTTGATTTCTCCTGCGAAATACAGGCTAACCCTTAACAGGAGAGCCCGCACGAGCACCAGCAGAACTTGCTGCTGTCGCGCATCATCACGAATGTGGTATGCAGAGACAAGACGATGGGAGATGAGACGGATGGCGATTTCAATGGCTGGATATGGGTAGGGAACCACAACGGCGAAGACTAGCTAACGAAATATGCAGGAGAAGCTCAACGAGGCCGTCATGGTCATGAACAAGGCACTGCAGGTGTGTGCTCTCTAGACACGACGATGACGAGCGGCACGATGCCACGAGAGATGCCACGAGAGCACAGCTAACTTTGGCTCATCTAGGACATCAACATCCAGAACATGGATGTCGAGCTTGTTGCCCAGATGTTCAAGAACTACCGCTCCAACGTGCTTTTCCACTTGGAAGGTGAGTTTTGCATCCGTTCCGCAGGCAGATCTTCTAACCAAACATTGTTTCTAACTCCCAGGAAGCCACCGACAAACTGTCCGAGCCGTCATAAGAGCCAGAGACTCATTCTGCTTGTTGCTTCGACGGCCTCATCTCTCTTTTGCAATATTTCTCAGTCCTTTATGCCTGCGCTTTACGACCCATGATGCTCAGCACCGGCAGCTTTCCTTTCTGGACGATGTCTGTTTATAGGAATTACGTCCACTGCCATGAATATACAAACATACTTTGGTTCCATTAGAGCGTCCTGTCATAACGTGAATGTGTATAATTGGTGGCATCACCAGAAAAAATGCCGGCCTGCTGACCACCGCCTAGAAGTGCCCTAACGGTCACTGAAATAGCGCCTCTAATGGCTCAACGTCACTGAACACAACCCCACCTAAACGGCCAATTTATAGTGGAGTCGTCTTGCCCCAAAAAACTTTACGTCAACTACGACTTCATCGAAACAGCCTCTCTCTCAACCACCTCACAATGTCGCCCGCAACAGCGCCGCCACAACAGCCCGCCGGCACACCAAAGACACAGAAAACACAAAAGATGGCTTCCTCTTTGACTTCATCACCGCCCTCCCTCTTCCCGCCAATCCCCGCGCCCCTCCAACGCCTCTTCGATCTTGTGCCCCTCATCATATACCCAGCAAATGCTCTGCCCGGCGACGACGACCCTGGCCTCGACAGCCTCGACAACGACCTCGCAGGCGACTCAGACGGCAGCCTGAGCTTTCTTCCCACCCTCTACGTCTTTATCGAACCCGCCGACGCCGCGCGTGGCCGCGCCAGCTTCAACCCAACGTGTCTAAAGTGGCAGGTACGTTGAGTTTCTTCGCGATGAAAGACCGTGACGACAAAACCAAACAAAACAAAAGGATACTGACCTGTTACTCAAGACATTCCTGCGGTTTGCTGACATCCCTGTGCGTTTGGCCGCCTCGTCCAACCATGCCTCGCCCACCGGCGCCCTGCCATTCTTGCAGCCCAGCCGGCGGAGGACGCCGTCCCAACCGAAGTCAAAAGCAACGACGACACCACAGCCGCCACGGCCCATTCCGGCCCACGACTTCCCGGAATTTGTCAAGAAGAATGCCCAGGAGTCACAGTCATCGTCGTCATCGTCAACTGTGATCCCCTCGACCCTGCGTGACAACCCCAAGGCCGCCGCCTACCAAGCCCTGCTCGACACCAGCCTACGCCGCGCTTGGCTGCACGCCGTCTACCTCGACGAGACTGCGTCATCCACGCCATCCACACCAAAAAAAGCATCTGGACAGTCCATAGCTGCTCGCCTCTACGCCGATGCCGCCTCGACATCGCCGCTCATCCGCTGCGCCCTGGCCGGGCAGTTGCGCACCGCCGCGGCCGCCGAGGTTTGGGGCAGCAGCAGCGGTGCACAGGCCGTGACGGCGTCGGCGACGGCGCAGCTGTACCGCGATGCAGAGGCGGCACTGGCCGCACTGTCGACGCTGTTGACGGAGGAAGACGCAAACGAAGAGGCTGACGGCCGGTACTTCTTTGGCAGCCACGAGCCGACCCTGTTTGATGCGGCCGTGTTTTCGTACACGCACCTGTTGCTGGAGGACGACGATGACAACGACCAAAACGGACGGCGGCCCCGCTTCAGGTGGCACAATCGTGTGCTGCCCGATATGGTGCGTGCGCACCCGCGGCTGGTCGAGCACCGCGACCACATTGTGGCACGATACTGGCCGAAGCAGGATGCAGGTGAGTCGGAAACAGCAGCCGAAAAGACACCAGCCGCCGACACATCCGCGAGCTGGATCCAGGTCTAGCAGGTGGAAAGTCAGTGGAATATCAGTGGAAAGAGAGTGGCAGTGCGCTGCTTTTGTACAACACCTCCCCTCTTGTTATGATACCCATATAAATACACAAAAGGTTGCAGATGGACATGTTTGCAAAGTACATCGAAGTGGATTGTATTCTGTCTTCTACGGTTGGTCGTATTAAACGCCGCCAGGGCGGCTGGTAACAGGAGTGAAGTCGTGAACCAGCAGACGGCAACGTGGGGAAAAAGGAGCGAGACGGAAGATGGAAATGGACATGGAAACAAAACGCCTCATAACGCCTTGTTCTATAACAGTGGCGATAAGGAACAATGAAATGTAAAGTATGATTGATGCGCCCAGTGCAACACACGACGTGGAAACCGAGGGAAAAGAGAAGAGACAGTTGCAGAAGACAAACTATCAGATCCAATGAGTCCCGTACCTAGAGGCCTACAATAAAAATAAAACGCCTGAGAGTTGACCATGGAAGGGATAAGTACAAAATGAGACAAAACAGACACCTGGATATGAAAGAAGAGCTGGCGAACGAGGCACCGGAAAGAAGAAAAAATTGAGAGAATAAAACAGGGGACACAGGCAGCAAACACAAAGACATATGCTTTATGAACCGAGAGTGTCGACGACCGCGCCACTTATGGCGTATAGGGCTGTGGGATGCCGTCCAACACGCCCTGTATCGTCACAAACGAGCCCGGCCCGCCGTTCTGCCGCAGGTCTTCCAGGAGCACATTGGTTTGCGCGTGCAGGTTCTCCAGCGCCGACCGCGACGACTTTCCGGTGGATACTGTTGGCATAGTTAGTGTCGAATCAACCTCTACATTCAACGTGGTAAAGGCAGGGATCAGGGCAGATCAAGGCAAGCGGAACGGAACATACACAAAATGGCCGAGTTGAGTTCTTCGGCAACTGCCACCCGTCCTCGCTGGTCCAGCAAATGCGCGACTTCCGGCTGCTTGAGCGGGTTCGGATATGCCAATAGAGAGAATATCTCGTTCAGTGCGTTCTGAATCTTCGGCCGCATGTCGCTGTTAAACTCGATCTGCAGATACTGGCCGTATCTGACTGCGTTTTGCACCAGCGCCTGGCTCACCGGCTGGTCCGCTGGCTGGCTCTCCGCCGTACCGCTGTCCTCGACCATCATGACGTCGTCGACATCCATCTGCGGGTTGTGGCCATTGGCCTGTCTCGCAGCATCGCCGCCGGCCTGGCTTGGGTCGGCACCATTTGTGCTACCATTGGCATTGCGGGTCCCATGGCCACTGCCGACGATGTTCAGCTCGGCTTCTTTGCGGATCATTTCGATAAACTTGCGGCACTGCAGGTGGAAATGAACAGTCTCGTTTTGGCGCAGCACGGTCGGGTAGTCTGCGTTAGTCAACTCGAGCGCGCGGTCAATGTCGCCTTCGAGCACAGCGCGGCGGATGCGCTGCCTCTTGTTGGCATCCTCGTCGTCGGCAATGTTGTATCCCCGCACCGGGTGCTTCGAGTCAATGTTTAGGGCCTCCTTCTCGGCCTCAATTTCCTTCGCAAAGGCGCGGGCGGTGTCGACATAGCCGTCCTGTTGCAAAAATTGCAGGACCTACTTCGTGTTAACATGTGCCTGTTGTTTATGTCGACAAGACGTACGAGTGGAGACTTACCAGCTGCTGGACAAGGTCGGTCTCACTCGTAGCAGTTGCAAGATCATCGGTGCTTTCAAGTTCGTTAGCTTCCAAGCAATGGGCCCGACATGATGAGAAAAGGAGGGGAGGTACCTTGTTTTCAGAATCTGCTGATTGATGTCCTGTTTCTCTTTCTGTGATACAAGTCTCGTTAGTAACCGGTCGAGCCAACAATGATAACGTAGAAAGCAAGATGGCCAAAATTGGCACCAGACGCCAAACACAAACGCCCATAGTTAAAACATCGCTCACACTAGTAGGCGAGCTTGACTGATGAGGCACGAAACAACAAATCCAGTACGAAACGGGTTTCGAATGACGCTGGTGACTTGGGTGCTGACGAATTGGGTGCTGCCAGCTAAGCACTGGCGGCCTGGTCGCTCGCACCGTCGCGGCCACGGGCAGCTAGGATTCTGGTAGCCTGTGCAGACCGACAACAGTCTGAAACCGGAACCTCTGCTTCGAATTCATGGGCCACGGCGAAGGACTGTCCAACTTTGTACAAAGCGCTGCCCGCCAACCAAATCGACGCTACTATCTTGGCCCTCGGGGTCCATGTTAAATAGCAAGGCGGCGAGAGAGGCGACGACGAAATAGACGATACAAAAAACAATGACATAGGGTAGTGTTGGGATAAGGAATAAAATGTAGAGGGTAAAGCAGCAACCATATATGAAAGTAGGTAGGATGTGGTAAATCATCGGAGGTTCCGACATTCGGTCGATAATGGGATGCAGGAGGACGCAACCGAAAATAAATAATAGACACGGGAGAACAGTTTGTGAATTGCATGAGATGTCGTGAAAGCAGGAAAACGAAGACGAAGCAGAACAAAACGAAGACGAAGCAGAACAAAACAAAAGTGCGAGACGGTACAAAACACGCAAAAAGGGAAAAGAAGGAAATAGGGTCCTACCTTCATGACACCGTCGATGTCAAAAGTGAAAGGCACCTGCCCAAAATTGACGCGAATGTGCTCGCCCAGCTTCTTCATTCCAACGGAGGGAAAGAGCTTTAGGCTGGAGCTTTTGATGTCCTTGAACGCAACGCCTGGGAAGGAGCGGTTGGTTAGTTGGTGGTTGAGCAGAAGGAAGGAGCCGTGCGACAGAGCTAAAACAGACAAAGAAATAAAAGACAAACGAAACAAAAGGAGCATACCCAAATCTTCGCCGTTCTTGGTGAAGAAGGCGGTGCCCGTCCGAAAGTTGACGCCACAGCCCACAATATCACCTGGGCCAAACGAAGGGCCGTACTTCTTGCCGGAGCCATGGTCAGTGAAGACGTTGCCATCATCGCTGTGATAGCCCCACGAGCCGGGCTCCCAGCCAGGCGGACGCGACAGCTTTGCTGATGCTTCGGAGAAGCCGATGCCAATGGTCGACTCTTCCCGCTTCTTGGAGAGAATCGTCACCTCGTAGTAGTAGATGCCGCACTGTGGCGGCATGTAGTGGTCGGCGCGCACGGAGCCGGCCTCTTGAGCGTGCTGGTTGTGGTCGCTTGCGGACCGGGACCCGGCGAACTTGACGTCGAGGCCGTCCGACAACACGTCCAGCGACGACGCCTTGTCGTCCTTGTCCCAGCGTGACGGCAGGGGTGCCATGGGCTCCTCGTCGTCCGGCAGGCCGCCGCCGCTGCCGCCGCCACTGCTGCCGCCAATGCCAAGGCCGCTGCCGCTTCCGCCGCCCAGACCTTTCTCGACCACATCGAATGCCAGACCACGGTGCGACCCGGGGCCACCAATCTTGCCGTTGCCGAGGCCGCCGGGGCCGTTGTTGATGCTGATGCTGGTCAGGCTGGCATATGTGCTGAGGCCATCGAGTCCGCCACTGCCGCCGCCACCCAACAGCGAACCGCTATGCCGGCCGTGCAGCCCACCCAGGTTGCCTGCTCCCAGCATCATGCCACCACTGCTGGATGCGCCTGCACCTGGTTGGGCCGCTGCTGGCTGGCGTGCGTGGAGCTGCTGGCTCTCGCGTGCGGCCTGCACCTTGGCTTTGTACTGCTCCTCGAGGCGCTGGACATACACCGATTCGCGGAGGTAGGAAGGCGTGAAGAAGCCCGCGTTGTTGTTGGGAACGATCGTCGTGCCCGGGGCATCCGTGTAGGAGGGGCCTCGCAAGAAGGGCTCAAACGCCCGCGAGAACGAGGGCAGCTGGCCTCGCGCGCCGAGCAGACGTATTAGGGCACTGTCGGGAACGTTCGTGTTCAGGCCGGACCACATGGGATCCGCGTCGTCGTCGTTGCTGCCGGTCAGGTTGGCGCTGCTGCTGCTGTGGCTGCCATAAGGTGGCCGTATGCTCGTGTGGAAGTTCGCGCCATTGCTCTCGGAGCCGTCGGCATTGGTGGTGTTGAGTAGCTGTTGGAAGGTGGCGCCGGAGCGGCCGTAGCCACCGGGGCTACCTGCAGCCGAGGCGTAGGAGGGCCGTCGTGGCGAGAAGCCCGGCAGGCCGGTGGGCAAGCCCGAGTCGGGATAAGAGTATGGGTTTGACATTGTCGGATTGGGGGACGCAGACGTCAGACGGAATGTCGTTTGGGAGGGACGCGAGCTGCACAGGCACGGTGCAACAGGCGAGGACGAAAATACGACAGAAAAATAAGTAGAATCTAGTCTCAGGTGAGGTTCAGCCGGCAATCGGTCGCTTGGACTCGTGAGATGACGGTGTGTGTATGTATCAAAGGTCTGGTTGATGTCAAGTCAAGGTAGAATCGATAGATAGCGGCAAGAAGCCGAGCAGAAGACAATCATCAACTGGTGTATCAAATGATGGCCGACACAGGGACGCGGTGTCCCGAAAAAGCTAGGAAATGGACGCAGCGGTGGGAACTGAGAAAGGCTGGCCAGAGCGCTGGGTGACAGGGCGTCGGAGAGAAATGAGAGGAGATGATGCAGGGCGAAAGACGAGGCCCGAGACAGCAAATGCCGAGAGCAGCGGTGCGTCGGCTCGTGTGCTGTGCTGGCACCGGCTTGTCTGGGTCTAAGCGGTCGGTCGGTCGACCGGTCGTCTGATCACCTTACCCGTTTGTTCGTTGTCCGTTGTCGTCGTCTGCTCTGCACGTGTCGTTGACTCTTGGATGCTCTGTGGTGTTGAGATAGAAACCGTTGAGGTCTCCGCTCCGAGGATAGGCGTTGAGATAAGCAATGCAAGGGAACTGGCGTTGATGGGAGCTGCCAATCGTGTGTGCCGTAGTGAAGTCAGCGTTGGGCGCCGAAGATGGGAGGAGAGAGCGGCCTGTCGTGGAGGGATCGTCAGGCAGAACGGCGAGGAAAGCTTCAGGGGGGAAGTATTCGGAAACGAGAGGAGAGAGGTGCGGTTCTCTTTCGATGGCGGGTCGTGCTGCCGTTGTGCTTGGACACTGGCGATGGGAGAAGGAGGGATGGGCTAACAGAGAGCCGGTGGCGGGCGTGGTCGAGGTTGGCAAGGACGAATGGTGCGTAATAGAGTGCTAGTTCGCCATGGAGGTGTTCTTTGCAGTGGTCGTCTAAGCGCTGTAGCGAAAAGCAGCTAGCACGGGGCGACGAATCACGGGATGCTTTATAGGGCAGTTCGAAACACTCGAGACCAGAGCGAACGTGGCATACTCGACCAGCTTTTCAATTGTTGTCCGAAAATAAAAGAAGGGACGAGCATTTGCAGAAAAATGGCGTATTTTAGGAAAGCATCTTACTTCTTGCTTCTGCTCGAGGACTTATCAAGATACGAGCTGTGCCGTGACCGATCCGACACGCGAGATAGAGCAGTGCACATGACGGCAGAACGCTGGAAGGGACCGCCTGTAGAGTAATAAATGATGCGACCTAGGCCCTGGAGTGCAGCGTAGGCGAGACCTGCTGGTCGCTGACGGAATCGTTGAGGTGATTGCTTCGGTAGTGGGCTAATCGACAGTCGTTTAGCGGGTACTTTGCGAGCGAGGCTGTTTGCTGGTGGTTTTGCGGGGGTTGCCACAATTGAGCATGTACCTCCAGATCAATAAGTGCCAGCATCCACATCAGAGTGGGTCCATCCACCACTTGCAAGCAGCTGGACTTTTCGAGCTACACCAGTCCTGGGCTGGCCTTGCGGGAGTGGTCACTGGACCATCTGTTTGCAGGATGGGAGAACACGGCCACAGCATATTGCATCCGGGAGCGATCTAGACGAAAGAAAATACTGTGAAGGATGTGTGTACGGGCGAGTTAGGACCAACGGGAAATTCCTTTATATTGTTACAACTTAGGGCTGCTTGCATACGAGGTTTCGATGTTTCGAAGCTGAGGTGAGGGAGCATTTAAGAACACGGTGAACTATGGCACGTTGGAGGACACTGTGTGTGGTGAAGACAAAAACTTTTCATGACTGGGGGGTCGCTGCACATATGGTGTTTTCCATTCTTCTGTTCCAGGTGAACCCACCTCCAGCAAGCACTGAAAAGAAACGCAGGGCAAGCAGCTGCAGGCAAAACACAGTTGAAAATTGAAAGGCAAGGAGACAAAGCACTGGAAGATGATTTTGCTTCAAAATGACGGAACACAGGCGTGATAGCCGCCCTATACCCAACTCCCCATCCTGATAAATCCCTTTTGACCGAAGACGACATCGATAAGAACAAAAAAACGCACAAAATGATACGGGCCTGATAGACTATTGACCAACGCCAGAAAACAACCTGTAGAAGAAAAAAAAAGGACCGCAGCCATCACTATTGTACACGCCGTGAGAAAACAAATACAACCAGTAATTACCATAACAAAACCGCTAGAAGGACCGAAAGGAAAGAGGAGACATGAAAAGGAAAACAGTCGACGGGCGTCCTTCTATGCGGCTGCGGCAACGGGTGTTGCCGCCTCGGTGGCCGGCTCGACAGACGGACTCGGTACGGCGCTCGTGTTGGCCATGTCGACGTCGCTGGGCGGAGCCGTGGCATCGCCGTTGGTGACTCCATGCACATGGCCGTTGGTCTTGGCGTCCGCGTTCTGCTCCTTCTTGTCGCTGTTGCTGTCCTTGCCGTTCTCCTTGTTGCTGCCCGTGCCGTCGGCCGACGCCGTGGCGGAGGTCGACTCGTCGCCGCCGTCGGTGTCGGTGGCGGACGTCTTGGGCGGCGCACGCCAGCGGGGGATGCTCCAGTGCACGCCGGTAAAGCTCTTGAGCTGGAAGCTGCCCTTGGCCCATTTGCGGCAGGGCTTGCCCGTGCGGTCGAGGGCGCGCAGGCCGGCATTGATGGCGCCCATGCTGGCCTTGGGGCCGAGCTTGTGTGCGCCGGCAGCAGACGCGCGAATTTCAACGCCGTCCTCACTGGTCTGTTAGTGTCCATAACAAAACACACACACACACACACACACACACCAAAAGGGCTGAGGGGGAGTGACATACAGTTTGGCCTTCTTCTTGGGTCCTGGCTTGCTGCGGACGCGTGCAGCGGGCTGCGGTGTGTCGCCGTTGGTGCTAGCCGGTCCGGCGCTGGCAGTGCCATCGACACCGGCAGCGGCGGCCGTGCGCTTCAGGCTGCCCCTCTTTTTGCTGGCAGCATTGCTGTTGCTCTCCTCGTCGGCTGCAGCGGCCGCAGCTCCGTTGGGTGGTCCCATGGTCGAGGATGAGACGGGTGTATCGGCAGCAGCTCCAGTGGGGGTTGCAGGCGTCGACTCGGACGCGTTGTCGTCCTTGGCAGCAGCGTCAAGCTTGGAGTTTTCGGCGTTGTCGTCGTCCTTGGCGGGCAGAGGCGTCGAGGGAGCTGGTGTGTGTGTGTCTGAGACGGTGCTTTCGTGGCTGTCGGGGAACATAGCACGCAGCTTGTCGGGAGACACGGTCAAGGTGATGATGCCAGGGGCGTTCTTGTCCAACTTCTCTGACTTCCGGCGGTCTTTCGATGACATACTGTGATGGGCGTGTGGACCAAAGAAGAACCAAGATGCGTATGGGAGACAACAAAAGCAGTCGAAGGCGTAAGCCGACAAGGGAGGCTCGATTGTTTATTTGGATCGACGGTGCCCAAAAAAAGGACGATGGTTTGTAAAAGGTGTGTTCGAACCCTTTCGATGTCAACGCCGCCTGTAGACGAAATTCGCGTTGTATTGGGAGTTGGCTGGATTGCAGGAGACCAAAGCCGACCTCAAAGCACAAAAGAGACACGGTGTGGAAAAGACGTCCCGAAATCAAGTCACGAAAGGACGGTCGTGAAGACAGAAAAAAGGGCGTTGGCACAAGAGCCAAAGACGGCCCCAACGAGAATCCTCCTCGGCTTCTCGAGCGTCGTGCTGGCAGCCACTCAATCGATTAATCGGTGGGCTGGGCGGTGAAGATCGCGAGTTGGGCGCGACAGCGGACGTAGTCGGCGGCAGGGGCAATCATGGGCGTGGTGGTGAGAGCAGTGGAGCGGTGGAGGTGATGGGCGTCGATGGGCCTTGGTCACGATGGTGATGATGGTGATGGGATGACGACGATTGAGGCCAACAGGGAAAGGGGGAGCGAAAGGGATTTTATTGTGGCGTGCAAAGGCATCCTGGGGGAAATAGAGGGTTTGGGTTTTGGGGCCATTCTCGCAATGGGAGCGGCCGGAGCGTGGACAGCTAAAAAAGGAGGGCGCATTTTTGATGGGTTTTTTTCTCTCGCCTTGTTCGCGCCGCCAAAATGCTGAATGAAGTCTCCAGGCGAGCCCGGAACGAGAACTGTGTAAGTTACGTGTGGTTTGGCCCGTGGCAGCAAGTGTTTTAGTCTGGCGACTGGGGCCGGTGTTTTTGCATTTATTTTTGCTATTTTATTTAATTCGGCCGCCAAAGTACGCCAATAACACACCAGAAGGCTCAGAGCGTTGGCCTGAGGCAGGATTCTGCTCCATAAAAAAGGAGGCTGTAACCAATCAGATCCGTGTTTGTGATTCCAAATGCGGACTAGCGCAAGTGTATTGCCAGTCAGGGGCACACAGTGCCGAACATGTGCGAGGCACGGAGCGACTACGGAGTCAGTTTGGTGATGATGTGCTGCCTTCTGACCTTTGAAATCTGCTGTTTCGTCACCCGTTTTGTGGCTTTACCGCCTGGATTTTGCGTTTCTGGCTGCTTCTGTCGGGATTACGGAGCAGCACCTAGCAGCCAAGGAACAAAGTAAGAGACACGACACAGGACACACAGGACACCGACACAGCCTGCGACCATTCATTTTCCACTTAGTGGCGCAGACCACCATTCGTCTGTCCGTCTCGCCAACTCCCGACTGACGCCAGCCAGGACGCAGGAATGCAGCGATCAAGGAGCTGAGGTTGCGCACTCAGGTGTGATACCGTGAGACAGACGCATCCTACAGGACGCACACATTTCCGATCACAGTCGCTGCAATGGACAGTTGCACCTTCTAATCGTGACAAGAGCGGCCTGGGATGGCAACAGCGATAGGGAGTGAGGGGCCGACGAAAGCACGAACATGATTGATTTGTGCGCATCTTTGCAATGTTCGGAAAGAACTACTGGGTAAAATCGATCTTAGTCGCCCAAGTGTTCCCGGAGAAGAAGGAACGAGAGAATGAACGGAAGGGGCGAGAGACTGTTGGGCGATGTTCGTCCACACAGTGCCCATGAGCTGGCCAAACCTTTTGCTCGTCGCACTTCTTTCACCATTTCTACTTTGTCGCGATAACCGTGCAATTTGGTAGATCGGTTGGCGGACAGCCCTAAAATGGCTCCTGTCAATAATTTGATGGGAAAGAGTTGTGCTGCCTCAGAGTCACTGCCTCCCACCTGCCCAAAAATGCTCCAACTGCTCATTGCCTGTCCGCATTGCCCCATTCCGTGAGACAGCACCCACGCTTCTTGGAACGGAGGAAAGAGGCAACAATGAGGAAAGAGCCGAGCAGCGTCGTATGGTCCATGCGCCCACGGTCTAAGCTGGCGGGCGGCCATTACTATGCAAAGCACGGCATTTCTATCAGCACTGACACATCTGGCAACGGCCTTCTCAGTCACTTCACTTTTCGGTCATTCTGTATCTTCCAGCCATGAATCATTTGACAGTACGGGATAGGAAGACATGAGCAACTGACCAGGCCGTGGATTTTGCTGCCTCTTAAGTGATGCTGCCGCAGTACCGAACTGCGCCGCTGAACCAATTTGCATCTGCAAATTGCAAGCGACGTCGATAATACTCCAGGACAAACCCTCACGACAGCGTCTACAAGAGCACCTATGTCCGGGCCGTGCGGGACGGCAGTCGTCACCTCGGACGCTCCGACGGCCGTCCTCAGGGAGGCGTCACGTGCCATACAATTAGATTACATAATATCGCAGCCTTTGCAAACATACTCGACGCCGAAGATGTACACTTCCTCAACACCTTGGCCTCAGTATGTTGCTCGAAACTCCTACGGATTAGATTGTTGCTAAGAAAATGTGCACCGGGCGAGTGACTTCTAAGCGAATATACGGAGGTCTACGAAGAGTTACTACAATTTTGGGAAAGAATATCTCACGTGAAGTGCCTGGAGGCGTCGTTATCTCGGCCATGAATTTTTGGAAGGAAATCCAAGCTATATATCAGATTTGGAAAGGATTTCTGTGATGTAAACACATGATCGTTGTGGTGCAGCCGGGTGGCTGGCGACATTGTCTTGAACCCTCCTTAAAGAGACATTGTCATAATTCATAATATCAGCTTAATAAACGCAGCTTTTATATTCAAGACAACTCTGACCTGTTGACCGCTGCAGCCGCACTCTTGAAACGATCCATACGTGCGTCCAATATGTACCAAAGGTATTGAGACTCGTGTTTTCTGTCAAGAAAGCAACAAAAGAGAGACAGTGACGTAAGTCCTAAGATAAATTTTTGCATTGATTTAACTGAACTTCTAGAATGTCAATTCTACCAACTACATTTACAACGTCCGCCATACAATTCAAAAACGACATGAACCTTGCCGGTAGTATTCGTTCTGTCTACACAGAACGTCGCAAATATCCTGTGGAAACGGGGGTTGCCTGTTGGCTTGTGGGCGACATTAGCGCGCACGTCATTGTTGGATTGGTTGGTGAGACGTGCTCGACCGCTTCTGTTTTAACCCTTGGCGGCCCCCAAGTTTGTAGGTTATGACGGGCACCTGTTCCGCCGCTCACATCTTGTTTAGTGCATCGCCGACGACAACGCTCGGCGTCGTTTTACGCGGTTTCTGTATTGTTACGCCGGAATACCGATTTAATTTGTGGGAGCGTGTATCTGCCGACCATGACCAGAAATGCAGGAGGTAGGCTACAAAACGGGGTTATTATGTTCTTTGATTTTGTATCTTTTTTTATTGCAAGAACTAACATAACAGCCGGCCTGCCCATCACGACGTTCGACATCAACCACATCCAAGTCGACCCGACAACATTCAATAAAAAGCGGAAGCGGACAAACACAGCCTGCGTGCGGTGTCATGAGCGAAAAATCAAGTGTGATGCTGGTAGGTGGATGAAATCGTTTATTGTGATACCAGATCGACGACCGACTGCGAGCAAAAACTGACCGTCAGGATCACTGCCAGGTAATACGCCATGCAGGGTACGTTTTGATCCCGTTTTTTCCTGCCATTGTTGTTTGCATGCGATGGCATACTGACAAATACAGAATTGCCTCTCTGCCAGTGCGACGTGTGTGTAAGTTGGGACGACAAGACGACAAGGACCTACAGTTACCTCGCACAAATCCGATTCTGACCCAGCAGGATGCATATCGATGGTCGAACACGAGCTGGGCCGACCCAGGCAACCCCTGACGTTGTAAATATCGACAACACCCGCGGCGATAATGAAGATGATGACGGAGACGAGGATGATGGCGGCGACGGCGGCATTGGTGGAAGCAGCACGACCAACACAAGCAGCATATCCGAACCGACGCAGCCCATTTTCCATGCTGCAGACTCTGCGCTTGCTCTCCCATCGCCGTCTCGTTCACTTCCACCTCCGTCTGCCTCAGCATCAGCGCTTCTTCTCCCACGACTGCCCAGTCCTGCACCACGGGCGCCAGCGGATGTGTCTGTGCAGCGGTTCGAAGCATACGTAGAGGACAATCTTGGTTCGTACGCACCATCGTTTCGAGCGTCGAGGGGCGGGGACTATGACATGAATGTAAACGTGAACGCAAAAACAAATAACAACACGTCTGCCTCGGATGATGCGCTTGCAGCTGCCGTATTGTCGTCCTTCACGCCAAGTGCCACCACGCATGACAGCCACAACAACAGCGACCCTTTCCTCGGGGCAGGCACCAGCTCCGTGTCCAATGTGAATGCCAACGGCGGCGGTAGCAACTACAGCGTCGACAGTTCGGCATATGCAGACCGAAACTACCGTAGTGGGTACAACAACAACCAAAACACACCCGCATCATACACAGCCATTGGGACGGGACCGGCGATGAGCGCTGCAGGCGGCGACCGGATAGAGGTCGAAATGGGCACACGTGCCACACTCGACTGGGAGCGCGAAGTGACGGACCTGGATGCTGCCGACGTCGACTATCTGCGCGCCAAAGGCGCATTTGACCTGCCGCCAGTCGACCTGCAGGCTGACCTCATCGACGCCTTTTTCAGCGACGTACACCCGACGTCGCCCGTCGTCAACCGTTGGGCGTTTCTAGCCGATTTCCGAGCAGGCCGCCGCCAGAGCCGGCTGCTGCTATTTGCCATTTTCACAGCAGCCGCCCGCGTCTGCCGCAATCCGGCGCTGCTGGACGCGCGCGGCACCAACCACGCGAGCGCCTGGCGATTCTACCGCGCAACCAAGGCGCTGCTGGACACGGGGTACGAGCGCAGCCGGCTGGTGGTGGTTCAAGCCTTGCTGATGATTACCTGGTGGTGGGACAAGAAGGACGACGGCGGACGCAACATGCGCAGCTGCGCCGTGGACGCCATCAACACGGCCCAGAGCATCGGCATGCACCGATGGGACCAGTACCCGCGGCAGACGGATGCGTCGGTGTCGAAAGCCAACGCCGAGCTGGGCCTCTGGAAGCGCATCTGGTGGTCGTGTGTCAATCGCGACGTCGGGGTCGCTGTGGGCCATGGCCTGCCGTGCATGATCTCGCTCGACGACTCGGACGTGCACCCGCTGACGCCGCACGACTTCAACGAGGACCCGACGGGCGCCGCGGGCGGGCAGTGGGCGAGCTACAGCGAGGCCGAGGTGCTGTTCATGATTGAGCAGACGCGTGTTGCCGAGGCTATGAGGCATATCCACAACCAGTATTTTGTGCAGCAGAAACTGCAGCTGCGACTGACAGGGTCCATCGCCGCGAGGGAGGAGCAGCTGGGTGGCTCCTTCCCCGGACGTACAAATTATCACGACAGCAGCACCCACAACCAAGGAAGTCACACAGGTCACGGGACTACAGGATCACAGTCCACGTCAGCCCCTTTGTCTTCTGTTGCCGGCCTCCGTTCCGATAACTACAACGACGCCGGTCTGCGTCTATGCCGCGAATGGCTGGCCAACGTGCCTGCTGCTGTGCAGTACGATGTCGACGACGTGCAGGGCCACCGGTTCTGGCCAGCTTTTCTTCACATTCTTTACTAGTGAGTCTCCCTCTATTTTGATATCCTACAACCGTTTCTTTCTCGCTAACCACGCGTGTCTCAAGCTCCAATATTATGCTGCGCTTTCGCGAGGTGTCGGTGACGCACCCGCAGACGCCCCGCGCCGTTGCCGAGCACCAGTACGGCAAGGCCCGCGGCATCGCCGCCGCCACCATGGTCAGCAAGATCATCCGCAACATGCGCGCCTACGGCCACCTTTTGCGGTGCACCGGCCAGCTAACCAGCTCCTTGTTCAACTGTCTGCTGTTCTTCCTCATTGAAGGCCACCTGGCCGGCGCGTCCAACAACACCGCGGTGCGCGATGACGCCCGCCGCAAGTACACGCTGTGCCTCAACCAGCTCTACGAATTCAGCCAGCTGTGGATCAGCGCCTCGCTCGTGCACCGCCTGTTCGAGGCGCTGCAGGCCAGTCTACTCCAGCCAGTGACGGCGAAAGCAACAACAGCAACCACGAATACCGCGTTTGACTCCGGCCATGAGCTGTTCCCTGGCTTTCGCACCTCGAGCGACATTACGCAGTCCTATATGCGGCAGCTCGTCGAGACGGAGTTCTATCACGCCGACACACTGCCCAACACAGAGATGGTCGTTGGCAATGCGACTGTAGACAGCGCCTCGCTCAGCGCGTGGACCCTGCCTTCCCCGGAAGGTATATGGTCGGGGCTGGACCAGCCGCTGTTTGGTGGTCTGCCGGCGACGCTGGATGTGGATACATGGTGAGTGTGCCTCAAGCAAAGCCAGGACAGGAAAGAGACAGAGAGAGAGAAAAAAACGGAGAGAAAGACGTCGTTGGGGACGAAGATTGCGTGATGCAAGCTAACCATGAGTTAACTAGGCTCGATTTCTTCCAGTTTGGGGACGGCAAAACTATGTGAGATCGAAGGGACGTAGAGAAACAAATTCAAGAGGGAAAAGAGACAGCCACTCACAAAAAGACAAAAAAAAAAAAAAAAAAAATAAGAATACGACCCAAATTCAACAGAACCGAACCAGGGATTCGGCGATTCATGGGCGGAGAAAGAAAAGCGACAAGAGCCAAGAGGCCGCTAATACAACGAAACCATCGAGGGGTGGGCCTAGACGCTATTCCACTCTAAGCATCACCGATGCGACGTGCTTTTGGGGTCATTTGTTTTTCTATGCCCTTCTGTGCCTTGTCTTTTTTTTTGGCGGGGGAAGGGGGGAAATGATTGCTTTATTGGTTTCACGGGTGCCGTCTTGCGTCACTTTGGCCATGTCAAGACGAATGACGTAAAAAATAAATCGAAAGGCGAGACGGAAAAAGGCACGACGAACCTGAAAGTCACGGCATCGCTTTCGGCGTCAATACATCAACATACCACCACTTACACGGGCAGTTCGCTTTCTATCCGTTCGCACTGCGAATCAAAGCACTTCTTTCTCCCAACTCGACACCCTTCGTCACCGCACCCGCTATGCCCGACTCCGCGCTTTTCTCGCCCGTCCGCGTCGGCCGCCTCGACCTCGCCCACCGCGTGGTCATGGCACCTATGACGCGCCGGCGGGCCACCGTCGACTACGTGCCCACGCCGCTCATGGCAGATTACTATGCACAGCGTGCATCGGTACCCGGCACACTCCTCATTTCGGAGGCGACGTCAGTGTCGCCGCGCTCCGCGGCACTTCCCAACACGCCCGGTGTTTTCACACAAGAACAAATCGACGCCTGGAAGCCGGTCACAAAGGCCGTGCACGACCGCGGCTCGTTTGTGTACGTGCAGCTGTGGATGTGCGGTCGGGCAGCGCGCCCGGGCGCCGTCAAGCGTGGTGCACCAGTCTTGTCTGCCAGCGATGTGCCTGTCGGCCCCGACTCACCTGTGCCGCGACCCTTGACGGAAGTCGAGATCCAGACGTGCATCAACGACTACCGGCAGGCCGCCATCAACGCCATCGAGGCCGGCTTTGACGGCGTCGAGCTGCATGGTGCCAATGGCTATTTGTTAGACCAGTTCACGCAAGACGTGTCCAACAAACGCACGGACGACTGGGGCGGTAGCATCGAGAAGCGATCACGGTTTGCCGTGGCTGTGGCGACGGCCGTTGCAGACGCCATTGGCGCCGACCGCGTGGGCTACCGAGTCAGCCCCTGGAGCCGGCACCATGGCATGCGCATGGCGGATCCTGTTCCGCAGTTTACGGACCTGGTGTCGCGTCTCAAGCCGCTCAAGCTGGCGTATCTGCACGTCATTGAGGGTCGTGTACAGGCCAACGCTGACCTCCCGGCGCACCTTGTGGCCGAGCCGATCGACTTTGTGGCGGATATTTGGGGCACGACCTCGCCCGTCATTTTCGCGGGGGGATACAATGCGCAGACGGCGCGGGAGCGGGTGGACAGCGAGCAGGCACGGGTGGAGGAGGACGGAAAGGCACGACAGGCGCTGGTTGCGTTTGGCCGGACGTTTGTGTCCAACCCGGACCTGCCACGGCGAGTGCACGAGTGGCTGCCCGTGGTGCGGTACAATCGGGACCTGTTTTACGAGGTGGAGTCGCCTCATGGATACACAGACTACCCGCTGTGGGAAGAAAGTGGCGACGGTGAGAAAACAGCCGTACGGACAGGCAAAGATCACGAATGGCCAGCAGCAACGGTGGGTGTCTTGGTTATTAATTAAAAAGAGAGACCGAAATTAAAACAGAATAAATCAAGATTAAATAAACTGTTTTAATGAAGCTGCTTGCCATACGCGAATAAATGTCCCGGGAAGAATCTAAGGATGATAGCGCTCAGAAGACAAAATATGAAGACCGGAAAGGCGTGATTTCTCCACACTGCCACATATATTTCGCGGAGGCTTAGGGACCATACACGTCCCAACTACAACTCACAATAACCCATAACAAACCGCACACAGAAATGGCCTCCTTTCCACCCTCTTCTACGGGCTTTGCCGTGGTGTCCACGCAGCCTGATATTCGCCTTTTTTACTCGGTGACGCCGGCACTGCCTCTGGATGCATCCAAGCCCGTTATTGTGCTCGCCAACTCGCTGGCGGCGACCACGGCGCTCTGGGACACGTTTACGACCGAGTTTGCGCCGACACACACGATTGTCCGCTACGACGCGCGATTCCACGGACACTCACCGTTGTCGTCGACCAACGGGTTTGACTACGAAAAGGGCCACTCGGTGGACGACCTCGCCGACGATGTAATTGCCGTCCTGGACACGATCGGCGTGGCCTCGCCGCCTGTGTTTATCGGCCTCAGCATCGGCGGCGGCGTTGGTGTGTCGCTGGCTGCTCGTTACCCCGACCGCTTCTCGTCGTTTGTGGTTGTGGGCTCGCGGTCGCACGCAGCTCCTGGCGACGCGGCTCGGATGGCCGAACGAGCCGCCTATTACCGTTCGCACGGCGCTCGCGCACAGGCCGAGCAGAGCGTCGAGCGGTGGTTTGGAAACGAGTGGCCCAAGGCATCGCCCGAGAACGAGAAATCTGCCCGCCAGGTGGCCGATATCGTCGTGCAGACACCCGTCGAGGGCTTCGAGGCCAGTGCGGCGGCGCTCAACCGGATGGATCTACGGGGACAGGCGGCCACCATCGGCAGCCGCGGGGTTGGAAGAAGAGTGCTCTTTGTAGTCGGCGCCGACGACGGCAAACTGGTGGTGGACGAGAGCCGACAGCTAGCCGAGACGACGGGCAGTCGTCTTGAAGTGGTGGCCAACTGCGGGCACATTGTCAATGTGCAGCAGCCAGCACGGTTCCACGCGATTGTGCGGGCGTGGCTGGCGGACACAAAGGCGTAGACGAACGCGCGGATCGATAGGCGAAACGTCATTTGTGTTTTCTTTCCCATTTCCTGTGGAGTGCATTGTATTTGTGATCATGCTGTGTCGTTTCTGTCTGTATCGTTCGCTCCTTCCATTTCGCACACCTGCCACCCGTGGGCTGTGCCGGCATCCGTTCGGCGTTACCCGATTAGGCAATTCTGGTGTTAGTGCTGTAGCGGAGACCGTTGCGCACAAGTCGCGTGAATGGCGTCACCGCGCCAGCAGATCCAACGAGCAGGTAGCGCCGACAACGTGCCAGGCACGGCGATATCGCTGTGCGGAGACAAGGATGCAAAGTACGAGGGGCAGAGAAAAGGTATTGGTGAAATAGCTGCCTGCATTTATGCTTGCATTTTTCTGTTTCTTGGACAATCTGCAGTCCTTTTTTGCCTCCAACTTCAACCTTCATCATGACTCTGTCAAACGGCACCAACGGCACCAACGGACACGGTACCGGCACCCCCGGCTATGTCCTTCCTCCAGCGCCCGAGCCATCGCCGATTTCACCGGCCGTCTCGGCCCTCTTCCCCGACAACACGAGCCCGATTGTGAGCAGCACGTACGCACACGAGCCGCGGCCTGTGCGGGCGATTTTCATTGGTGCGGGCCTGTCGGGCGTGGCGTTTGCGTACAAGGCGCGCCTGGTGGAGCAGCTGTCGTACCGCATCTACGAGAAGAACACGGACGTGGGCGGTGTGTGGTTTGAGCACACGTACCCGGGGATCTCGTGCGACGTGCCGGCGCACGGGTACTCGTACACGTTCCGGCCGAACCCAGACTGGAGCCGGTTCTACGCGGGCGGCGACGAGATCAAGCAGTGGCTGCAGACACAGGCGCGGGACTATGAGCTGTACGAGAACGCCAAGTTCGAGCACGAGGTGCAGGGGGCCGTGTGGGACGACGCGCGTGGCGTGTGGACGGTGACGGTCAAGAACCTGGCCACGGGCGACGTGTTTGCGGACGAGGCAGAGGTGCTGTTCAACGGCAGCGGGTCGCTCAACAACTGGAAGTGGCCGGCCATTGACGGCCTGCACGACTTTGGCGGGGCGCTGGTGCACACGGCGCGGTGGGACCAGGGCCTCGATTTGGCCGGTAAACGAGTCGGCGTGGTCGGCTCGGGCGCCACGGGCATCCAGGTCGTCGCGGCCATCCACCCGCAGGTGCAGTCGCTTGTGTCGTTCAACCGCTCGCCGACGTGGATCGCACCCGACTTTGCGTGGCAGCTGGCGACGGAGGGCCGCGCGACGCGGTACTCGGAGGCGCAGCGCAAAGAGTGGCGCGAGAAGCCCGAGGTGCTTCGGGAGTACCGGCGCAGCATTGAGCACGCAATGAACGCGCGGTTCCCGTCGTTTTACAAGAGCTCAGAGGCGCAGAAGCAGGGCCAGGCGTTTGTGGGCGCGGCGATGCGCAAGAAGCTGGCGGGCCGCCCCGACCTCGTCGACAAGCTGGTGCCGCCGTTTGAGCTCGGCTGCCGCCGCGTGACGCCGGGCGACGGCTACCTCGAGGCGCTGGTGGCGCCCAACTCGACGGTCGTCACCGCCGGCATCCAGCGCGTGACCCAAAAGGGAGTGGTCGACAACGAGGGCACGCTCCACGAGGTGGACGTGCTGATCTGCGCGACCGGCTACGACACGACGTTCGTGCCGCGGATCCCCATTGTCGGCCTGGACGGCGTCAACCTGCAGGACAAGTGGCGGGCCGAGGGCGCGGCGGCGTATCTGTCGGTGGCGGTGCCCGGCTTCCCCAACTACTTCGTGGTGCTGGGCCCCAACTCGCCCATCAGCAACGGGTCGCTCGTGGGTGCCATGGAGGCGCAGCTGGACTACGCGCTAGCGTTTGTGCAGAAGAAGCTGCAGCGGCAGCGCGTGCACTCGTTTGTGGTGACGGAGGCGGCGGCGCGCGAGTTTGACGCGTGGAAGAACGACCTGATGCGCGGGCTGTCGTTTTCAGGCAACTGCACGAGCTGGTACAAGAGCGGGACGCGGGACGGGCCAGTGGTCGGGCCGTGGCCGGGCTCGGTCAACCACTTTATGGAGATTATCAAAGAGCCGCGCTTTGAGGACTTTACATTCAAGTTTGCGGGGCCGAACCGGTTCACGTACTTTGGCGACGGACGGTCGCCCAAGGAGGCCAAAGGCGAGCCTCTGGGCTGGTATATGAAGTAAGGTGGGGGTCCTTGAGGAGGTGCACTATTCATATATAGACCACATGGACAGAGTCTAACAGTCGTCATTCTATTGGTTATGAAATTGGTAATGAAACTACGAGTACACACCACCCAGCCGTCTACTGTTTCGCACCTCCCGCTTGTACCGCTGTATTGGTTGCCCCCTCTGCATCGTAGCCAAACAACCAGTCCCGACGCGCACCATGGCCCCAGTAAATAGGATTCGCGTCATTGTCCTGGACCATAGCCGCGTCTCGTTCCTGCTGCTGCCGTCCGTCCGGAAGATGGTAGGACGCCTGCAGCTGGCGGCCCCATCTCTGCAGGGCCGAAGCGCGCGGTTGGCGCACGCGCTCGTAGGTCGAAATGGCGTCGCGCAGCGTCGCGGGTGTCGCGCCTCGCAGCGCGGTGCGCAGGACGGCGGCGTCCTCGCAGGCCATGGCGGCGCCCGAGGCCATGTAGGGCAGCATGGGGTGGGCGGCGTCGCCGAGCAGGACGGCCTTGCCGGACGGGTGGGCCCAGTGGTCGACCATGTCGAGGTCGTAGAGGCGCCACTTCAGGAAGCCTTTGCCGGCGAGGGCGGCCAGCTTGCGCACCCGCGGCTCCCAGGCGGCAAAGCGCTCGACGAGCTCGGCGTTGTCGGCGATGACCAGCTTGGTCTCGTTCTCGGCGAGCTTCTGGTCGTGCATGGTGGCCTCGCTGACGCAGAAGACGACGTTGTAGATCTCGCCGCCGCGGACGGGGTAGCCAATAACGTGGGCGTCGGGCCCGCACCAGGACGAGACCCAGGGCTGCGACACGAGGTCGCGCATGGCGGGGTCCGACAGCATGTCCTGGCCCGGCACGAGCACGCGGTACGAGATGTCGCCCGTGTCGACGGGCGGCAGGGCGTGGCCCTGGAACGCCTCGCGAGCCTTGGACTGCACGCCATCAGCGACCACCAGGAGATCGCCCTGGACGGCGGTCCCGTCGCTCAGAATCGCAGCCGGCGCGTCCCAGTCGTAGCCGTCGACGCGGCGGCTGGCCTGCACGTCGACGCCCAGCTCGCGCGCTTTGGCCAGCAGGACCGCGTGGTAGTCGGCGCGGTGGACCATGAGGTAGCTGCCGCCAAAGTCCCACTCGGGGATGCCGTGCGGCATGTCGGCAATGACTCGGCCGTCGTCGTAGCGCAGGAAGCGGTTGCCGTTGGAGTACGTCTTCTTCATGTACGTGAGGTCGATGCCCCAGCGGTGCAGCAGCTTGAAACTGTTGGGTGGGATGCGCATGCCGGCGCCGACTTCGCCAAAGGACGACGCCTGGTCGAGGACGGTGACGAGGTGGCCGTCGAAGCGGAGGCCAATGGCTGCGAGGAGGCCGCCGATGCCAGCGCCGACGACGACGACGTGGAGCGGCGGCGAGTGTGACGTCGAAGGCGCAGGTGAGGCCGACGTGCCGTTTGTGGACGGCAGAACGCCGTGTGCTGGCAAGTCTTGGGCAGTCATGATGGCGTGGAGGTGGTCGATTGAATGAATGATGGAAGGGTATGACGACGACAGCAACTTCGAATCAACCAGCGTCAACGACTGCAGCCTCTATCAACAGAGGCACCGAAGCGTCCATTGGATGGCTCCTTGACCGGACTTTCTCTTTGATTTTACTTTAACTTTTTTTAATTTTTTTTTTATAATTTTTCTTTCTTCTTCCATTTTCTTTCTTTCCGTTCTGTCCCCTTCCCCATTCGTAGCGTCTTCCACTTACACCCTTGCCCTAACCTATTCGGTATCGCCGCGATAGCCCCAAAGCGATTGCGCCATCGCGACCAGCGTTCAACTCTCTAGCTCCTCTGGTCGGAAGCGGTTCTCCGTCAGATTGGCAGTCCGACTGTGGGCCGACCAAGCTTCTGTACTTGTGCTCCTCGGTGAACGGCCGACGAATGTCGTCGAGCCGTTTGATCCACCACCCCCGTCACCATGCCTTCGTTTCCTGTTGCAAACACCTTCCCGGTCGTGGCCACGCCGTGCCACGGCGACACGACGCCTGTCATCTCCCTGTTTAACCTGACGGGCAAAACAGCCGTCGTTACGGGCGGCAATGGGGGTATTGGCGGCGGCATGGCGCGCGGCCTGGCCGAGGCGGGCGCCGACATCATCATTTTCCAGGTGCCGGGCGAGATGTCCGATTTTGCGACAACACTCGCTGCCGAGGCAGGGCGTCGTGTCGATGTCTACGAGGTCGACCTGCTGCAGCCAGACATGATCACGGCCACCGTCGACAAGGTCCTCCACGCAGACCAGCGGTCCGTCGACATCCTCTGCAACTGCGCCGGCATCACTGGCGGCTTTGTGCCCGTCCTCGACGAGACCGACGCGCACCGCGAACAGGTCGTCCAGATCCACTTCCACGCCGTCTACAGCCTGTCCCAGAAATTCGGCGCCCATTTTGCCCAGCGCGGCCGCGGCGGCAAGATTATCAACATTGCCTCGCTGGCGGCCCATCGGGCCATGACGCGGTTCTCCGTCTATGGCCCCATCAAGGCGGCTGTTGCCCAGCTGACCAACTCGCTGGCGACCGAGCTCGCCGCATACCACGTCCAGGTCAACACGCTGACGCCCGGCTGGATCCACACGCCGCTGTCCCAGAAGACGGTCGACAACCCAGAGCGCAGTGCCCAGATCGTCGCCGAGATTCCGGCCGGGCGCTGGGGACGGCCCGCCGACTTTAAAGGCGTGGCCGTCTTTCTGGCGAGCGCCGCGAGCGACTACATTACCGGGGCAGAAATATTCGTGGATGGCGGGACGCACACAATGTGACGGTGCGAGCCACGAGAGGTCGATGCTGTCGACTGAACATGTAATACTTTTTTATTCGTTTATTCGTATATTACTGCTAGCATGTATATTGTATAAAAAACGGCTTTAAGTTTTATGCGCCTCTCGCCCGCCACCTACTCATTTGCAATCGACTTGACATCCTCCCACATCCTCTCGCGCCAGACCTGTGTCGACGCCAGCTTGGGGTGCGACATGAACGCGTGCGGAAGCCCAGGATACGTATAAAGCGTCGTCGGCACACCAGCGGCGCGTAGCTTCGCCTCAAATAGCAGCCCCTCGTCGCGCAGGGGATCGCGGCCGGCGACGTGGACGGCCACACGCTTCAGGCGCAGCGCCGCCAGCGTCGTGTCGTCCACCAACAGAGGCGACACGGCCGGGTGCGTCGGCGGCGTCGGCTGGTACATGGCCATGAAGCCGCGCAGACGGGCGGCGTTGATAAACGGCGCGTCCGCGTGGGCCACCAGCGACGGCTCTCCTTTGACCGAGTCGGCCGGGAAGTGATCCGGGTGCACCGTCGCCGGTGTCGTCAGCACCAGCCCGCGCGGCCGCACGACCGGCTGTGACTGGGACTGCGCCTCGGCCGCCGCCTTAAGAGCAACGGAAATGGCCAGCGTCGCGCCCGCACTGATTCCGCCGACCACAATCCGGCTGGTGTCGAGCTTCAGGCCGTCGCCGCCCGGTCCGCCCTGGCTGGCCACCCACTGAAAGACCGCCCAGGCATCGTCCGACGCCGACGGGAACACGTGCTCGGGCGTGTGTCGGTAGTTCACGTTGACGACAGCCACGCCCGTCTGCAGGGCCAGGTGCCGGCAGTTGGCGTCCTCTGTGTCGAGGCTGCCCAGGAAGTAGCCGCCGCCGTGGAAGAATATGTACACGGCAAGGCCGTCGTCACCAGCAGCCGCCGTCGGTCGGTAGAAGCGCACCGGAATGCTGTTCTCGCCCACGGTATGCTCCGTCACTGTCACTCCGTCTGCCGGCCGCCCCACCACTGCGTCAAACAGCTTGGCCGTGTTGGTGTTGGCGGCTGCCCGGATCTGCTGCGGCGTCGCTCCGGCCGGCGGCACCGGCGCCGACCACGTCTTGGCGTACTCTGTCCATTCCGCCGCTTCCTCGGAGAGGTACGAAATGTCGGACATGTCGTGGGTGTGGTGGTGTAATACAAACGGCATGTATGGTGTGACAGAGATGACGAGCGTCAAGAGATGCGAGACGAGCTATGAATAAAAAAAGACGCAACGATGGAGCTAGCAACAAAGTAAAAGCCAAATCCCAGGCGCCAACAGGCGACCGGAGATCTCTTTCGGCGGTACGCCCTGAGACCCTGGAGATATGTCTGTTATGGTGAGGCTGGCGGTCCCACTGTCCGTCTTATGCTAGTTTGGGCTTCGCCGATATCCACGACATACTATCCACAACGTACTATCCACCCACCTCCCCTACTCGTCCTGCTTCCCCAACCGGATGCCGTTGACTTTGCGCTTCTGGATCCAGTCCTCAAACTGCTGGCCCAACCAGACGTTGCGCGTCGTCTCGATTGCGCCTTCAATCTCTGCGTACTGCCCGCCCGCTGCGTAGATGGCCCGGCCGTGGTATGCCCGGTTGAGTCCCAAAAACAACAGAGCATTGGCAATGTCGGCCGGCTGGTTGATTGGCAGGTTCTCTCGCTGCCAGAGGTGCAGCACGTGCGCTGTAAACTGTGTCTGCACAAACGCCGGCGCCACCAGGTTGATGCGGATGGCGCCGTGCGTCTCGCCCTCCAGCTGGTCGCGCAGCGAGCGCACCAGCCCCAGCACGCCGTGCTTGGCTGTGTTGTAGATGGGGATACCCGGCGTGTCAAGGTACGACGCGGCCGATCCCGTGATCACGAGGCTGCCGCCACGGGTGTTGCGGGTGTTGCCGGGCGTACCCGTTCTTGCCGTGCCGGCCGCGCCTTCCGTTTCGGCCGCCTTGAGCTGCCGCCGAAACGTGCTAAGCGCCAGCTTTGTCGTCAGAATCACGCCGCGCAAATTCACGTCCAGCACCAATAGCCTGGGCTCTTGCAGCTGTCCCGTCGCTGCGTCCACCGCGTCGACAAACACGTCCTCCACCACCTCGTCGATGCCCGCATTGGCAAAGACCAGGTCCACGCGCCCGTATTGCGCGATGACGCCGTCAAAGATGCGCAGCTGGTCGGCCCAGACGGACACTGACCCTTCGTAGAAATGCACACCCGCGCCCAGCTCCGCGGCCAGCTTTGCGCCGTTGACGCGATCAACGTCCAGCACGTTGACAATGGCGCCCAGGCTGTGCAGTCGGCGCACGGTCGCCTCGCCGATGCCAGTCGCGCCGCCTGTGAGAATCACGACCTTGTCCTTGGCCTCCTGGAAAAGGGGCAGGTCCGCAGGGATTTCGAGAGATGCCATGGTAACGTGGGTCGAGCGTGCGTGTGTCAGTGCTCGGGTCTATTCGTTTACTGTATGCATTGACTCTAGCTTCTGTGTATGGATTATGATGGCCATCTTTTGGCTCGTGTAGCCTCTTCTTATTTGGACCCTCGCTCGATTGCCATTCACTTCGTCGCATCAACACATCCTGCGAAACGAGCCGATGGCAACATTGTGATGGACTCTTGGGTGATTTGTCCATTGCAACCCTTGTGCGACCGGCCGGACATTCGGAGAGTGACGACTTATGTCGAAATACAAAGTGCCTGGATGTTCAACAGGGTCCGGCGGGAATAACGAGGCCATGGGTGTGCCCTTCCGGTGTGGTGCAAGGTCGATGCGACGGCCATGTGGTGATGGATCCGGCGATGCTCAAAGCGGCTACACCGTCGCGCCGTCCCAGACGCGTGCCTCGGAAACGTCAACTAATCAATGATTGACAACCTAACTGAAAGAAAGAAACGACTCAACGGTCAAGCCAATCTAGCTTTTACCTATTATCTGCCACGCAGGTTCGTCCTCCGAGCGGCAGTTGGATATCCTCCCCATGCCGTCTTAACCGCAACCCTTCCGGTTCATAGGGCTTGGTCTGGGGCCAAAGCAAATAGAAGAATATTGCATGCCTCTTGCGTGATCACGACTCGATGTGCGTTTACACCAGTCTACCAAAGACTCCACGAGGTCTGTGGAAGATCCAATGCAGGCCTTGCTACGTCAACGCGGTGAACGCAATAGATAAAATGAAGTCGTTGGCAATTGGGACGACAAGGCTGGACGGGCATGCCGACCAGAGACAACATTCTCGTCTGCTAATTTACTCCTCTTGAGTCCTTGCCACAAGTCTCGTCACCGTGTTTGTACACGTCCTTTCCCTGTCGCATTTTCTTTTATATAGCCTTTTAATTGTCTCCTCCTCGCCATGGGTCTCTGGGTCCTCGAACCAAAGCAACAAAATGTCAAGGTGCCCGGCACCGTCCACGTCGAGCGCGACACGGACGTGCTGCGCGCCCTGACGGCGCATCTCAAGCACGGCAGCGGCCGTGAAGAAGGCATCGTGCTTGTGCCGCAGCCATCCGACTCCGTCAACGACCCGCTCAACTGGCCGCGCGCCAAGAAGATCTTCCACTCGTACTTTTTGTCGTTTGGCACCGGCCTGGCCTCCGGCACCTGCTACTTCCTCAACCCGTCGGCCACACTCATGGCCAAGCAGGTCGGCACCACTGTCACGCAAATGTCCCGCTCGCTGGCCGTGCTGATGCTGTGCATGGGCATCGCGAGCATCCTCACGACGCCCCTGGCACGCATCTACGGCAAGCGGCCCATCTTCTTGCTGCTGGGCCTCGTGTCCGTCCTGGGCTACGGCGTGCTGCTGGCACACCCCTACAACCTGCAATACCTCTACGCCGGCCGCGCGCTCTGGGGTGCCGGCGCCAGCGGCCTCGAGTACCTGGTGAGCTCCAGCGTCGGCGATTTGTTTTTTGTCCACCAGCGCGGCTTCCACCTCGCACTGTGGCACTTTGCCCTGGCCGGCGGCAACTCGCTGGGCCAGGTGATTGCGAGCCAGATCGTCGCCGGCCAAGGCTACGTATGGGCGTTCCGCTACGCCGTCATCTTCATGGCCGCCTATGTCTTGGCGCTCTTCTTCTTTGCGCCCGAGACGACCTATATGCGCGCTAAAAAGTACGACACGGACGTGCTGGAGCTGCTGTCGGACGAGGTCCGCGAAGGCAGCGCCGCCGCCAGCGCCAGCGTATCGGACCAGCACCTCCCATCCGGGGGCAACGTCGACGAAAAGACGGCCGCCGACTTCGACGCAGAGTCGGCCGGCGCAGCCGCGGAGATCGAAACCAAACGTGCCTACGCCCAGTCCCTCCGCATCTTCAGCGGCCGCTACAGCGACGAGAACTACCTCAGGGCCCTCATTGCGCCCTTTGCCACCTACATGCTGCCCGGCGTCGTCTGGGCCGCCTACTCCTACGGATGCGCCGTTGCCTTTTCGGCCTCGCTCTCCGTCTCGCTGTCGTCGATTTTCACCGTCGCCCCCTATCACTTCTCCACCCGCGCCGTCGGCCTCACCGTGCTCTCGCCCTTTGTCGCCAACATTGTCGGCAACTTCATCCCTGGACCCGTCGCCGACTGGCTCGTCACGTACATGTCGCGCAAAAACGGCGGCGTCTACGAGCCCGAGTTCCGCAACATCCTGTGCATCCCCGCCCTCGTCACGGGCCTCGCCGGCTATTGGGGCTTTGGGCTCGCCATCCACTACAAGATCCACTGGTTCGCGCCCGTCTTCTTCTTTGGCGTCGCCGCCTTCTCGGGCTCCATCTTGTCCCTTGTCTCCAACACGTACCTGCTCGACTGCCACCGCAAGCATGCGCAGGACGCCTATGCCGCCGTCACGCTCGTCAAGGCCGTCATGACGTTTGCCATTGCCTTTTTTATCAACACGTGGCTGGCCAAGTCGGGCCCTGTGCGCGTCTACTTTATTATTGGCACCATCCACGGCGTCGGCTGCATCTACGGCCTGGTGCTGTACGTCTTTGGCAAGCGTATGCGTCTGGCCGTGCATCAAAACGCGTTTATCCAGCGTCATCTGCGGTAGTGGCAAAGTGGTGTAAGAATACGTTCCATGGACCACCAAGTTATCTAAATAGATACGAAATATGCAAAATATAGATAATGTTGCGTTCTTACATATTGATTTTATTCGATTTTGTGCGCGTGGCGAACGAGGCATTCGTAGACACCGTTCAAAGGAATGGAAAAACGACAGCCGGGTTTCACCAGGCCATACAGGTTCTCGACATTGCCAACGGCCGGGACAAAGATACGAACACACTTTGCATTAGAATGCGCCGAAGCAGAGCGAGATTGCACCTTCCTAAACCGGTGTCGGCGTCGAGGCCGGGCAAGGCCGGCCTAGGGTCACGTGAATGTTTGTCCTGGTATCTCGACACGGCGTCTTGGTCTCGGCTACGAACGGGCCAACCAGAAAGGGGAAGGAGCGAACGGGATGTGGAGACGAGAGAAGGGGAATGGAAGTGGGAAGGAAGAAAGTCAAGGGGCAAGTGAGGAAGGAGCGGAGGAAAAGCACTGGACTGCATTTGCTCCACAGTGCAGGAAGGTGCGAGAGCGGAACAACACTTGTAATACCCAACGACGACGACATCGTCGACGAACACAAAAGTAAACAAGACGAAAAGGAGAACAGACAGGCGAATAAATAGTTTTGTGACGCACGAGAATGTTATATGCAGTTTGGACGTATTTTTGCAACAGCGACGCCGAGTAAAGTGAGTGTTTGCCGGATGCCCCTTTTTGGTTTTTGGCTGGTTCTCGTCGTTCGTGATTTCCGGTCCTTCAGAAATCCAGCGATTTCCATTCGAGCGGGGGACGAGTTTCTCTGTGTCATGGAAAGATAGGTAAAAACCAAATGGGCAAAAAGCGCAAAAAATTTGACTAAAAAAGTGGCGGTGGGCGGTCATCCTGACACCAACTTTCCAACTTGGACTGGTGGATGAGGCCGGAATATGAGCGTGCGAAGTGGCCGGAACCATTCCGGCCTCGATGCATATAATCGCAGCGCGCGCCGGCTTTGGACTCGGTCGCAACCACTTGGCCACGATTTTTTGGTAGTCTTTCCCAATCATTTCCATTCCATTTTCCGGTACTCTGCCATCCCCCGGTTCCCGTAGACGCTTCATTCTTTGAATTTTTTTTTTTTTAAAAAAAGTCCGCCTTCAATACCAAATATCACCATCAGTACCATCTTCACCACCAACTTACCTTTTTGCCACCATATACCTCCCCACACATCCTCTCTGACAATGGGCTCCATCATCGTTGACGACCCTACCATCGCCACCTCGTTCGAGGTGCTCGACGATGCCCATCCCCAGGACACGTCTATGCCGGCGTTCATGGTGTCCAAGACGCGTGGCTTCCTGCCGCGGGCCGAACCTGTCGTCGAGCTGCCGGCGGTGTTTGCGCCGCTCGAGGACCTCTTGACGCGTATGCCCGTCAAGCGCCTCGACGGCACGCCCGGTCTGCTGGCGGAGGGCAAGTTAGGCGATGCCATCCTCAAGGACAAGCTGCTGCCCGACCTGACAGACGCCATTGACGAGCCCAGCGTCAAGCACAACCTGCCGCTGCTCAACGCGCTGTACCGCGACTATGCGTTCCTGGCGTCGGCCTTTCTCCTGGAGCCCTGCCACCTCCGTTTCCTAAAGGGCGAGCCCTACGGCCTGGGCCGCGACGTGCTGCCGGCGTGCATTGCGCGGCCGATTGCACGGACGGCGCGGCTGTGCGGGTTTAAGCCGTTCATGGAGTACGCCGGCAGCTATGCGCTGTTCAACTACCGGCTGGAGGACCCCGCCAAGGGCCTGGCGTACGACAACCTGCGTCTGATCCGGGCCTTTGAGCACGGCCTGGACCCGACGTCGAGCGAGGCCGGCTTTGTGCTGGTGCACGTCGACATGGTGCGCAACTCGGGCCCGCTGGTGGCCGGCACGGTGGACTGCCTGGACGTGGTCGAGACACAGAAGAAGACCCAGGGCGGTCGCGAGGCGTTCAACCATGGCCTCGAGCGCATTGTCGCGGCGCTGACCCGCATCAACGGCGTCATGGAGACCATGTGGGCCAAGTCGCGGCCCGAGCAGTACACGAGCTTCCGCACATTCATCTTTGGCATCACCTCCCAGAGCATGTTCCCCGACGGCGTGGCGTACGAGGGCGTGGGCGCCGACGGGTTCGAGGCCGCCCGCCCCGATGCCGTCACGCGCCTGAGCTTCCGCGGCGAGTCCGGCGCCAACGACTCCATGGTGCCCCTGATGGACAGCTTCCTGCAGATCCCGATGCCCGACACGCCGCTGACGGCCATCCTCAAGGACTTCCGGCAGTACCGCCCCAGCAACCACCGCCAATTCCTGGCGTACGTGCGGCAGCGCTCGGGCGACCTCGGCGTCAAGGACTATGCGCTGAGCGGGGGCGGCGCCGTCAGCGGCGAGGACATGGACGCCGTCCAGAGCGTGCGTCTCTGGCTGCAGATCCTCAACCAGGTGCGCGACTTCCGCTGGCGCCACTGGTGCTTCGGCAAGGAGTACATCCTCAAGCGCACGTCGCACCCGACGGCGACGGGCGGCAGCCCCATTGTCACCTGGCTGCCGAACCAGCTGCAGGCCGTGCTGACGGAAATGCAGGCTATCTATGCAGCGGCCACGGGCACGACGGCGGGCGCGGTGCCGGCCACCAAGACGCGGCTGGGCGAGGATGTCGACGACATGATGGAGATGGTCATCCGCCAGAGCGCGACGCTGGCCAAGGAGGTGGCACGGTACTGCGACGAGCGCGGTGTATAAAGAGAGTGGTGAAGACGAGACGGGGGACCCCGAAAGGACGTTGGCAGTGCGGAGCTGATAGATGGGAAGGGCCGGTGGACGTGTACCCAAAAGAGGAAAGCACGCTGGCGGTCCTTGAATCCCGCTGTAGCCCCACTATTAACAACTGCCAGCACGCATACACAGTAAATCTTAGGTGTTTTCCCGCCTTTCAACAGGCACTTTGGCATTTCGACAACGAAAGTACATCTTACGACATATAGTTATTCCAACACAGAGTCTATCTACATATCTTTCATCTTCAGACTGTAAATTGACATTCGCTACCGTTTTAAAGCAATATTTACCTCCATTTCCTGCACTTTGTATGTCTTCGCAGCACGTCGCGCGCCGTCGCTCCTTCCTTCAGGTACTAGCGCTCGCTCCTGCCACTCTCTGTCCACGTATTTACTTTCATACACGGCAGGCGCATCCACTCTGTGATGTCGTCTCACCTCACGCTTTGCCTCCCTAATCTCTCGCACCTCACTCCTCTCACACGCATCCACGCATCTTACGGCAGACGCGCAGACGGTGACGAGAACGGGAAACGGGAACGAAAACGGATCGCGTCGACTCGTATACGATTGTGTGTCTGGTCCTTTTTCCTCCTCTGCAGCCTCACTTCCAAACCTTCTCCGTCAAATTTGGACGTTCTTCGCGGCGATGTAGTGATCAAGATGACCTGTGTCGTGTTGCTTTGGGTATCTTACACCCTCTCTCCATCCGATGCAACCTTATATTACTCATGGGCGGGCTGGGAAACGGGTTGCGACAGGCTCCCGCCACATCGCTCTCGCCCGAACGAATCCAAATCCACGGCATCCACACATTACGTGTATGTCTGACGGCCCATATGTCTCTCTTGGACTGTCAGCTGTCTTGCCTGTCAGATTTTCTTTCTGTTCGGAGCTTTGCTTGCATCTGGTCGGATCGGCTACATTTGGCAAGACAGGCTTGAATTGGAGGAAGAAAAGGAAGACGGAGGGAAAAAGAGCAAGCAAAAAGGGAACAAAGCACGACATGTGTCGAACAGAAATCACCTGCAGGACGCCCGATCGGCGAGATTCTGCATGTCCATGTTCCGTACTGCAGCATCCGCAGCGGCGGAGGAGACCCTGGACGAAAAGCGAAAAACGGCTAAAGGAAGCGCAACAACCCTGGTCGTTTTCTCATTTTCTGCACTTCTGATTTGATTTTCGATTTAATTTCGTTGGCAGAGCCTCCGCCCACCTGCGAAGTGTTGTCATTACAAACAGTTGTGCGCCGCATGCACGTTGTCGCATGCACATCTCTCGCGAATCGTATTTCGTGTCGGTCGGCGTGTTAGATCTGACTGCGCTGCTTTCTTCCATTTCTTTCTCCATCCTTTTCTGCTTTTTTTTAAAAAAAAAATCTTTCGTTTTGTTTTCTTCCAATCTCGACCCTTCCGCCACTTGATACTCGACATATCTTCCTTTGTCTCTTGTCTGTGCGAACGAGCTCTTGTCTGTTGGTCCTGGATCTTTAAATAACATTTGCACCTTTCCGGACGCAAGGAGCAAAGGCCGCATGTGCACAAAGAAAACAGAGCCACAAAGCCAAGAAATCTCAGAGTACCTCCGTACGACGAACAAGGGTCCTGGGCCCTGGCTGCATGCGACCTGACAGATGATGCGGTAAGGGGGCCTGTCTCTCGCCTCATTGCGCAGCGTTTCTTTTCCCTGCTCTGAGTTGTTTTATGTTTTTATGTTTGTTTGATTTTTTTTGTTCTCTTTCCCTGGTCGTTCCTCCTCTTCGTCCCCATACTCTCTATAGACACATCGACAATGCCCTTGCGACGATCCGCACCGACAACAGGCGCCCCGGCTTCGGCTTCCCGCTTTCTGTCCACGGCCTGGGCCGTTCTCTTCGTTCTCCTTGCCATCCTCCCCGCCTGTCGCGCCGCCTATGACGGCGATGTTGCGCTCAGCGGTGGCCGCGATGCCTTTTTGGCCGAACCCGGCTTTGCCGGCATGGGCTTGTCGCCGCGCTACTTTCTTGACGGCGTCGCGCCGACCGTCGAGCGCCGCGACAACGCCGGCTGCGCAGCCGGCTTCCACTCGTGCCTCGACATCAACTCGACGCTTTGCTGCGCAAACGACCGCTACTGCATCATCGATCCGACTACGCTCCAGGCCGCCTGCTGCTCCATCGGCCTGACCTGCGGCTCGCCTTGCAACGAAACTCAGTACGAGTGCAATGCCACCACGACCAAGACACTGACCCAGACCAAGACCGACCTTGTTGTGTCGGGAACGGCCACTCTGCCGCTCACCAATCCTGCGACGAACGTCGTCACCGGCGCCAACACCGTCATTACCAAGATCACCACGGTCATCACCACCACCTCCGTCTACTCCGCCTGCTGCGCCCGTCGCTGCCAGGGCACCAGCCAGTTCCAGTGCGCCAGCAGCTTTGGCGGCGGCTGTTGCAACTACGACCAGACCTGCGCCTCCAATAGCCAGTGCTTCTCGACGAGCCAGCCACCTTCCAGGACGCAAACGGGCGCCACCGCCACCGACACATCTGGCCTTGTGTCCGCCCTGCCCAGCGGCTGCACCACGAGCCAGATCGCTTGCCCCCAAAGCCTGGGTGGTGGCTGCTGCGCGCTCGGTCATACCTGCACCGTCGTGTCCAGCACCATCTTTTGCGCGTCCGCCACTGGCGCGACCACTTCGGGCCTGACGACAACCGACACCAGCAGCAAGAGCCTGTCGGCCGGCGCCAAGGCGGGCATTGCCGTGGGCGCCGTGATTGGTGCGGCCGCGCTCGCCGGTGCGGCCGCTTGGGCCTGCGTGCGTCACCGCAATGCCAAGCGCGGCAGCGTCCGCCGCGACTCGTCCCTGCCGCCCGCCTCCTTTGGCACCCACGATTATGACGACCTGCAGAGCCAGCCGCACAACGAACCGCAGATGCACCAGCCGCAGCTGCGCCAGCAGGGCATGATTGACGGCCTGGGCGGCATGTCGGCTGCTGCCAGCTCGCCCGCCACGCGGTCCTGGCGCCATCCTCTCGCCTTCCGGCGCAACACCGCCAGCACAGGCGTCGGCGGCAGCGCAGCTGCGTATAGCAACAGTGGCGACGGAGCAGCAGCAGATGGAACGGGCATGGGTACGCCGGCCATGCCCACGGGGTCCGAAGCGGATGCACGGCTCCCCGGATTGACCCAGGACTACTTTGGCCCCAATGCTGTTCCCGGCCCGTACACTGTGGCCCAGTCAGCCGTTGCGCCAGGCAACAATGGTGTTGTGGGTGGCGTGCCGATGCAACCGCAAGGCCCGCACGATATTGTGGCGCCTGTTGAGATTGATTCGCGGCAACGGGCCGTGGCCGAGATGGGCGCGGAGAACAATATCGGGCGGAACGACAATGGTGGCAATGGTGACAATGAAAAGGATGCTGCCGCTGTGCAAGCAGCGCCGTACGTTGCCGTCTCGCCACCACCACCAGCAGCAGCCGAGCCTACGTCGCACTATGAACTCTATGGCTCCGAGGTGCCGACACCGTACACCCAGCAGACTGTTTCGCCAAACGAGCGGCCAGGCGACAGCAGCGCAGTGACACCGATTGCCGAGGGAGGTGATCAGGGCGAGCTGGTCGTGTCACCAATGGAGAATGCCAACCAGCCAGGCGGTGGTCCGAGGTTAGAATGAGCTGTGTATGATAATCAGAGAAGATAATAATGATGTAACGGGACAAGGAAGGTCATGAACAAGAAGCGAATGTCAATCAAAAATGTCTATTATATTACATTGTGCGTGTGCGCGCGGCTTTTAGGGGACCATAAAGTGCAAATGCAACCATGACCCATGCTCAAATACGATCGAGGATGTAGGAAGAGAGAAAAACAGAATGAAGGCCAGACAACGATACGCTCAACAATGGTAATACAGTCCTGTGTCGATGGTGCAGGTTTTGTTGGGCGAAAAAGAAGCTGCGCCAGGAGCAGAAATCAAATACAATGCAAAAGGCAAAAAGAAAAAAAAGGCACTAAGGAAAATGGAAAATGAACAAAAAATCAAAAACAAAAACAGAAACAGAAACAGAAACAAAACAAAAACAAATGACTTCGCTAAACGCCGTGTCGAATGGTATCGAAAATAGAAAATCGGGTCGAGAAAGACAGTCGAAAAGCGGACTATGTGAAAGAGACCATCAACCTGCTTCAGCACACGACACCGCCAAAGGGCGTGTGAGCTGTCAGATCGCGCACCAGGTCGTCCACGTTGTGCAGGTGCCGCCCCAGCAGCGCCTGCTTGTCCTCGGTTGTCCGCATAAAGTCGGTCTCGTCATCGCCACGCCGTTTGCGGCCAGACGCTGCACTGTTCCCGCCGCCCCCAAAGGCCTTGGCCAGCTTGCTCGGGCTGCGCTGCAGCATCGCCGGCATCGAGTCCCGCGCGTCTGCCCGCGGAATGGACGGCGTCTCGGGCATGAGGTAAAAGTACAAGAACTCGACCAGTTTCAGCTTGACCTCGCGCGACGTCGACCGTGACTTGAAGATGGACGTAACCGTCAGCAGGCCATCAAGGGCCTCGAAGGCGCGGGTGTTCTGGGGCGTATCGATGAGCGCCACGACGAGGGTGAGCAGCGTGGCCGACTGGATGGCTGGGCAGTTGACAGGTTCGAGGAGGTCGAGGAGAAGCTTGGCTGTGTCAGATAACGGCCGAGACAAACGAGAGGAGCAAAGCAGGTACCGGCAAAAAAAGAAAAAGAAAAACTTACGTTCAAGTATTTCTCTCGTGCAAAGAGCACCTTGCTAGGCGGGTGCAGCAGAAGCACGCCCTGCGTCAGGTCGAGCGTGCTGAGGATCAACAGGTCGTTCTGCCCATCGCTGCCGCGAGACAACAGCCGGTCGAGCGTATCGAGCAGCCTCTGTGCAATGTTCCACTCAAAGCCCTCCTGCAGCTTGAAGAACTCAAAGAACGCCAGGTCATCATTGAGCTCTTCAAGCGTCTTATAGGAGCCCTTCTGTTGCTGGTGATCCTCGTCAAGGCCCGACTGCTGCTTCTTGGCTTTGGACGAAGACAGGCAAATGGGTGCCAGCAGGCCTTCGACCTGCTTGAGGCCTTTTTTTATTTTGGGACCATCATATGACGACAGGTTGTCGAATGCAAGTGAAAGGAGGGCCTCCATTGTGCCGTACGGATAGAGGAAATGAAGGAGGAGGAGGAGGAGGAGGAGGAGGTCAGAAAAGGTTCGTTAGAGGTAAGAGAGTAGTGTCGAGGGTCGATTGGAGAATGCGTGAAAGGAGGTATCGTGGAGAGTTTGAGAAAAGTTGGAGCTGAATTATCGACGAGAATGAAAGCAATGGTGACGGCAATCGTCAATGCGGGCGAATTGCCTTCAGTGAGAAGAAAAAGGTGGAATGAATTATAATACAGGAAACGAAAGAAAAGGCGTGCTCATGCAAAAGGCTGCAAGTGTATCACAAAGAAAAGGAGAAAATATGAGCTTTTCTGATGTTCATGGCTCAGATGAATGAATAGACAAGAAAAGGAAGCTGCACGCAATATGGCACCTGCCGTGTGTTTGGCTGTCTTTGACCACCGATAAATGGCCCAGCAACGGCAGGAGCTACCCACCAACCAAGAACGTCGCATTGGGCTGCATACAGCAGGTGGCCTTGGTGGCGCTAATCCCAATTGGTTGGTCTAGCACAACCGCCTCGCACCGTAGGATACAGCAGACTGGAGGGGCAACAGATAGGGCAGAACAGCGGAATGGGCGCTATATTAAAACAAAAAGATCACAATATCAACAAACGACGACACCACATCGCCATGAAGCCACTACCACAACGCATGATCAAGTAAATGAAGAGATCATACCGGGTTCGACCTGCAACGGATGTAGATGAATAGTGTTTTCATTTCCGTAGCGACGATTGAAATGTATTAAAGCTTCGGCTCTTTGTGTGAGCATGTGGAAACTTGAAACCAACTGGGCGACGATGCCCATGTTTGCTGCCAGAAGTAGGGTCTGAAGCGACGGCCAAGACGCGAGAGGCGAAAGGGATACAAGCGACACCCTCTCAATACCACTCAAAATAGACTGTCTCAGCGCACGCTCAAGACGGGTTTGCTTCTCCTTTCAGAAGATCGTCAAAGCGCGCGCACTTTGGGTCAAGGGGCCTGCATAAACTCAGCCCAAGCATGCAGGGGATGCTGTGGGAACCCGGCTTGTCAGAAAAGCCGATGGAAACAAAACCACACGTCCCGGACGCATCTTTTGTCGACTTGAATCTACAACACACTCCGTAAGTACATCTTTTACATTATCAAATTGCTCAGGTCAGATTATCGCCATCGCGGTGGGCCTTCGACCAGTCGCTACTTCCGTTACCACAAGACGCTTACGACGTCGACGTACATGCCTTCTTGCACTTACACATTGCACTCACCGGCACTCGCCCCCGCATCAGCTGTCACATGGAAAGAGACGCGCATTATTACGTCTAAAGCTCCTGCCCGCCGAACTGACTTCTATTTCGCCTTACATTGAAAGCCCCCGTCATCATCCACTCGACCAATTGAATTTAACCATAGCTTATTGTCAACATCATCGACGTTTCCTGCTGCGCATATTCGCCGTTGTACCACACCGTGTTTTCGGACTCCAGACATTGACAACACGCCACATTGGTTGGGCCTGCAAGACGTAGTAACACCGGCGCCCAAAATCCTTCTGCCTGGAACAAGGCCTACACTGCAATTGGCGGCGAAGCAAGAACAGTCTGGCAAGCGCCCGCTTCCGAAGGACCAAACAATTGATACACGACAATAAACGAGTCCTACAGCATAACGCTTCAAGGAATTATTAGCTGGTGCCTGCACTGCACCTTCCACGTTCCACAACGTTCCGTGCCTTCCCGCGGGATACGGAACAGTGGATCGTTCTTGCTCCTTTGGTCGCATGACATCAAAGGACAGCACACCAATAGACACCAACCTGCCTAGCTCCTGTTGGCTTCGCGCCTGCCTCGTTAGGTACAAAATTTCGTGAAATAGGAGCCTACTTCCTTCCCTTGCACGCCGTCCCACATCTCCGTCCCTCTCTTGCCACACATGTTTCCATCAGCCGGCCGGCGAAAAGAGAAAGAGCCAGCTACCATGCTGTCCGCACCAGTCGCTTCATCTTCCTCCGGCTCGACATCACCGGCCTTCCTCCAATCTCCCAACGCCATCCCACCACGACGCTCCTCCACCGGCCAGCAGCACCACCAGCACCAGCACTCTGCGTCATTGCCCCAACCTTCGTCCTCTGCGTCTGCATCTGCATCTGCCTCTGCCCCTACCTCTACCTCGACCTCCCACCAGCGCCATCACCATTCTTCGTCCTCCTCATCCACCGGCGCCGGCAAATCAGCCTCTGTGCTGCGGTCTGTCCCCGAGGCCGACTGGCTACACAACCCCGGTACCCGGCGTCCCCGAAAACCTTCCATCACAATGGCCTCCCTAAAGGCATCAGCTGCCGCCGCAGGCAACCCCATCCTAGGCACCGGCAGCACTGGCAGCACCGACAGGCCGACCCCGTCTACCTCCTCCGCCTCCGTCCTCGAACCGACAAAACACCAGCCTCTTGTGCCACCAACATCGAAGCCCTTCGCCGGCGCTGCTTCTGGCTCCTCCTCTTCCGTCGCCACCTCTGTGCTCACAGCCACGGCCCTGCAGCCAACACCCCCACCCGACCCGCGGCGGTACGCTTCCGAAGACTTCAATTTTAGCGCGCGACGCACCTGGACGGACGAGAAGGAGCGCATCGTGTGCGGGCCCTTTGATTACCTGAACAGCACGCGCGGCAAAGAGTTCCGCACGCAGCTCATAAACGCCTTCAACGGCTGGCTCGAGGTCCCCGCCGACTCTCTCGAGATTATCACGCGCATTGTCGGCATGCTGCACACGGCGTCGCTGCTGGTCGACGACGTCGAGGACTCGAGCAGCCTCCGACGCGGGCTGCCGGTGGCCCACAACATCTTTGGGGTGCCGCAGACAATCAACAGCGCCAACTACATCTACTTTGTGGCCCTCCAAGAGGTGCAAAAGCTGCGCAACCCCAAGGCGCTTGCCGTGTTTTCCGAGGAGCTGTGCAACCTGCACCGCGGGCAGGGCATGGACCTGTTTTGGCGCGACACGCTGACGTGTCCGACCGAGGACGACTACCTCGAGATGGTCGGCCACAAGACGGGCGGCCTGTTCCGGCTCGGCATCAAGCTGATGCAGGCCGAGTCGCGCTCGCTGGTGGACTGCGTGCCGCTCGTCAACCTGCTGGGCCTGCTGTTCCAGATCCAGGACGACTACCGCAACCTGATGGCGTCCGAGTACAGCCAGAACAAGGGAATGTGCGAGGACTTGACGGAGGGCAAGTTCAGCTTCCCCGTGATCCACAGCATCCGGGCCAACCCCTCGAACTTGCAGCTGCTCAACATTTTGAAGCAGCGGACGACCGACGAAGAGGTCAAGCGCTACGCCGTGGCGCACATGGAGAGCACTGGCTCGTTTGCGTACACCAAGGAGGTGCTGCAGGTGCTGACGGAGCGCGCGCGGACCCTGGCCGACGAGCTTGACGAAGGCAAGGGCCGCAGCCAGGCGGTGCACGTCATCCTCGACCACCTTGCGATCAACTAGATGCAGTGCGCCGGTTCGCCATTTACAGC